CGTCTTCAATTTTGGAGTGTGCATATTGACGTAGTGTGCAGGGTGGATCCGAGGTGAGGGCGGCGAACTGTGTGAGTCAGTGGTGAGAGTGAGCAACTGCTGGCCTGTCCGTTGTCAAGGACTCGAATATTGGTGATGAATCAGTAAATGGTGTGCCGCGCACTGCGCCGCGGCATCAGCTCCAGTTCCTGAGACAGCAGCAATTACCTGAGCTTTCCTTGCCATAGTACTAGCTCGAGCCTCGGGCTTCGGTGTGATGATAATGCAATTACATTAATGTACTGCTAGCATGGTCTGATAGCTCAGGCATAGTACAGCTCAAACACGTAGTAAGATTCACTGGGTGAATACGAGAATGCAGGAGACGGCCGAGACACCATTTGGCGCAAGGTTCAACCATGAGATCCACGATCTACCACCCCGAAGGTCGGCGACTCGGAACCGCGACGGCCGGCGTTCAAGTTGGATAGTAAACACAGTAAGTAAATGAATGTAAGTACAGTAAGTAGATAGTAACAAGTGCCGTTGCGGTCACGGTGGCTGAGCTACCTCAGATACTTACTCAACTCTTGGGTGCAATACTGATTTCCCACAATGATTTTTTGCGCGAACTGCTATTAATCTGCCTTTAGAATGTATATTCCAAGCCTCGTCTCTTAATCTTCCAAGCTGAACCTGGGAGGTGCATTAAGCCCGGCGCTCAAAAACGCAGAGTCGGACAACAAGCGCCGGTGCGGTGGCTGAGCCACCGCAGATACTTACTCAACTCCTGGGTGCAATACTGATTGCCCACAATGATTCTCTGCGTGAACTGCTCATTATCTACCTATAGAGTGTATATACCAAGCCTTGTCTCTTAATCTTCCAAGCTGAACCCGGGAGGCGCATTAAGCCCGGCGCTCATATCCGACATGTGACTTGACTTTTTGACATTATAGACGTGGTCTTTCTCGGCACCGGTTTCTTACATGCAAAAAAGACGTTTAATACGCGTCAAAAACTGACGTGTTTCTTACACCGGGTTATACACGGAACCCTACCAGAAAGGGGTCAACCGTAGACGCTCAAATCCAGCGCCCGTGCACGGGCGTAGGACGCTTCACGTGATGTAGTCGGATGTGCTCGAGCCCTATCATAGTATGTGGTGATTTCAGCCTCGTCTTCCGTTCGTTCTCCTCGCCATAGAATTGACTGTCGCATAAAAGAAAATCAGCATACCAGCCGACGTATAAGGTCCTGCCAGGGTTCGAACCTGGGTTATAGGAAATTGAGGTCAAAATCCTAAGTGATAAACCACTACACTACAGGACCGCCACAACGCGTTCTTGAGGCCCATCTAGTCTGAAGACGCGCGTGGCGCGAGGTCAGCCAATGTATCGAGGTACGGATGTAGATACATACTACATAGTACAACCTGAAATGCAAAGATTCTATAACTATGATTCGCCAGTAGTGCAAATTGGCAAGAAGTCAGGGCAATCGCCTGGTTTCTGAGTTGATATTCCGGGCCCAGCATGTGACTGAGCGCAGGACTCTCCAGATCGACGGGGGTTCTTCGGTGTGCATGATTGCACGAGTGCTGTATGGACGGCCCGGTTGACAGGATGAGCGAATGGCTTCGGAGTCCCTGTCACTTCGGCGTTCGCAGGGCCTACAGAGATATAAGGCGGAGCCCCGTCTGCAGCCATGCTGACCCCTAGCCCTTCTCGCGCTTGCTTGTCTCCGTACGATGGTTGCGAATGTCCCGTACTTCACGTTCCACAACGGACTCAAAGTCCCTGCGATCGGCATGGGGTATGTTTGTGATTGAGGTCACAATCTGCAGGACACTCACCGTTATGTAGATGCTGGATGGGCTCTCCGGGTGGCGGAGAGACGGTCGAAATCATGGTTAAGAACGCGTTGAAGGTGTCTGTTTCCCTACTATGGATTTGTACGAGCTGTTGACGGGGAACAGCACGGTTACCGTCACTTGGACACTGTAAGCCCGCTCGCGGTGCTCATCTAGAAAGAAGTCCTGACCACACACCTATCAGGCATTTGGCTATGGCAAGCCGTTCACTCGCTTGGGCAAGATAGTCGTTGACTCGTGTCCCGGCGTGTAGGGAACGAAGAGCATGTCGGAAAAGCGATCCGCGAGTCTGGCATCCCTCGCGAGGAGATTTTTGTGACGACAAAGCTGCCGTAAGTATCGAAGTACCTTCGTTTCTTTCGGCGTACCGATGTGCGGCGTAGGAGCATCCACCATCACAAGGTCCGCGAATCATTCGAGACATCGCTCAAGGCTCTCGGTCTCGATTATGTCGACCTCTACTTGGTCCACTGGCCTCAATCTGACACCGAGGAGGGTAGGTCAAACTCCGTCGAGGTTCTGGGAACCCTTAGGACCTCACAATGTCTGCCCGATACATAGGTGAGCATATCCCATATGGCCAATATCCCACCGTCGTCGATACCTGGAGACAAATGGAGCAATTACTCGATACCGGTACGTGCGTCCCGCTATATGGCCGGTCTGGCGTACTTACAACGTTCATGACCATGACCCGTGCATGGCAGGGAAAGTCAAATCCATCGGCGTTTCTAACTTCTCTATCAAGACGCTGAACGAGCTTTTGCCACATTGCTCTGTCGTCCCGGTGACGAACCAGGTCGAGATCCACCCTTGCCTGCCGTCGTTTCAGCTCCAGGAGTTTTGCAAGTCCAAGGGAATTCTGTTGACCGCCTACTCACCTCTCGGTAAGACCTCAGTCGTCTCTGGTCCCTGTAACACTTACTGAAGAGACTTTGGCAGGCCGTCCGCTGCCAGGTCAAGCAAGGCCGATCTTTTTCACTGACCCCGACGTCGTGGGGATCGCGGAGAAGTATGGAGCGTCGCCCGCTCAGGCCGTCATCAGCTGGGGTGTTAAGCGTGGATTGATCATCATTCCGAAGAGCGAGAACGTCGAGCGCATGAAGGCAAACATCACGGTGCGCGACCTACCTGGACCCATATCAGTGTACTGACACACGCACGGATAGCTTTTGGACCTTTCGGAGGGCGACATGGCTCTGCTGAATGGCATACATAAGCGGCCGGAGATGCACAAGTCACTGCTGTCGTACCATAACTATACGGACGACGGCTTGATTTTCGGCTGGACGTATGAGCAGCTGGGGTGGAACATGAAGAAGGGTGGCATCGTGAAGGATTCGGAGTAGCATCCGACCGCGGTTCTCCTCGGGGATGTATGATAAGTCTGGCAATTGATTCGAGGTGGATTGCGTCGCGGTGCTTCATTCGCCCAGAACCAGTAACGCGCACCGCTCGAGTCAATGGTAACTCGCACAACCATGCATCGATACTGACGGAATGGTGACTCACGAGGCTCTGGCCACTTCTTGAGAGACCTGAAGCGTTCAGGCCTATTGCAAAAAGCAGGACTTTTGTTCCATGCGGCAGTGTGACAGGCGGTGATCCTAGTTAGTGACAACAGCGCGCGAGGGAGAGGCCTGAAACACGAGGCTCCGGAGAACAAGCAGAAGCAGAAACGGGTCGTCGATTGAATTGGGAGAGATCTGTCCGGAGAAGAATTTGACGCGGATTGGAAGCGAATGCTGTCTGGGATGACAGCCCCAGATCCGAGAATCCTCGAGCGGTGTTATGTATACGATAGTTGGTATCCCTCTCAACGGACACCGGTCGTGAGATGCGTCTCAGACGACCCTCTGTGCACGCCTGGTAGTCGTGCGTGGTGAACACGACGTAGATAACGGCGTGGAGGGGAGGATGCGCGCGTGCGTTTGTGCAGATCAGCGGTGCAGGGGCTGTGGAGGACGCGACGATGATTGGAGGGCGGTGTTGCGTTCCTCGAAAGTTGCCATACGAGGCAGGCCGTATTGGGCGCTTCTATCGATCGCGGTTTCATACAAGATGGGTCCTTATAACCGCCAGTGTGCCACCACCGCCCGTTTCGCCTCACTTCCCCGTCCACTCCTCCTCGTCCCAGACGGTGACCACCGTCTCCATCTGTCTCCTCCGCTCATCCATCAGTTGTCTCCGAGATGCAGAGGCACTCGTTCCAGGCGCTGAACTCTACGTTCGTCGTCGATTCTGAGTATCAGTTCGTAAAGGAACTCGGGCAGGGTGCGTACGGATGCGTCGTTTCAGCCAAGCACCGCAGATCGGGAGAGGGATGTGCAATCAAGAAAATCACGAATATAAACACCAAGGTCGGTACCTGCGAGTCTCTGAGCTGCATACGCGGATAGAGACGCTTTGTACGCACAGAGGATCCTTACAAAGAGATGCCTTCGTGAAATCAAGTGCGTGCCTCCCACTGATGCTCACCATGGAAATCTCACATTGTGTCTGTACTAGACTCCTCCACCACTTCCGTGGACACAAAAATGTGTGTGCAGAGGCGCGCATACGATCGCTTGCAGGGCTCATGCGTTGTTAGATTACCTGCCTGTATGATATGGACATCGTCTTCCGCCCAGACGGCAATTTTGATGAAGTCTACCTCTATGTGCGTCCATGTTTGCGGTGTGCTCTCAATGATCGTCTGACTTTTGACCCATGCACAGGAAGAGCTCATGGAAGCCGACCTTCACGCCATCGTATGCACACTCCTACACATCTCCGGCGATCAGTTCAGCTTACTCTGCAATGCAGATCCGCTCACAACAACCCCTCTCAGACGCCCACTTCCAGTCTTTCATCTACCAGACGCTCTGCGGTCTCAAATACATCCACTCTGCGAACGTCCTCCACCGTGACCTCAAGCCGGGCAACCTCCTGGTCAACGCCGACTGCGAACTCAAGATCTGCGACTTTGGCCTTGCACGAGGATACAGCCCCGCGGGCAATGGACAAGGCACGGCGAAGAATGCAGCGAACCAGGGCTTCATGACCGAATACGTCGCCACGCGGTGGTACCGTGCGCCCGAGATCATGCTGAGCTTCGCGAACTACGTGCGTGCAGTACTGCGGCGGAAACGCTGGATCTTATGCTGACATGCATATTCAACAGGGCCCGGCGATCGATGTCTGGAGCGTTGGCTGCATTCTCGCTGAGCTACTCGCTGGCAAGCCGATCTTCAAGGGCAGAGAGTGCGTGATCTATTTCTTTCTTCTGCGTAGCGCGCTCACATCCAAGTGCTGTCCAGCTACGTCGATCAGCTGAACCAAATCCTGCACTACCTTGGCACACCCTCAGAAGACACCCTCCGCCGCGTCGGCTCCCCAAGAGTGCGTCCGCCTTCCTGCCTGTTCATCTGAGCGATCGAGTCTGACGTGCGCACCTTCCAGGCCCAAGATTACATCCGGTCGCTCCCCATCAAGCCGCGCGTGCCGTTCCAGACGCTCTTCCCCCGCGCGAACCCCCTCGCGATCGACCTCCTCAGCCAGCTCCTCCACTTCGACCCCGCGAAGCGCATCACGTGTGACCAGGCGCTCAACCACCCCTACCTCGCCGTCTGGCACGACCCCGCGGACGAGCCCGTCTGCCCCACCGTGAGTGCTGTTGCTCTCCTTCTTGCGTTGCTGCTGTGCGGAGGGTCGGGGACTGATGCATGATGGGCGTGCAGCCGTTCGACTTCATCTTTGAGGAGGAGGACTCGATCGAGGGCATGAAGCGCCTGATCGTCGACGAGGTGCAGACGTTCCGCGCGGAGGTGCGCGCGCAGGCGCGCGCGTCGGGCCAGATCCGTCGGCAGGAGAGGTGCGTCTCCCCCTCGCTCTCCGCCACCGCCCGCTCACCGTGTCTCGCCGCTCACCACGCGTGACCGACCACCCCCTCGCGTCGCAGCCTGCCGATCCCGACGCGCGAGGAGATCCTGTCGTCGCCCGTGCGCGAGAACGCGCCGGCGAACGGGGCGACGTCGGGCTTCACGGACGGGCAGTCGCGCGCGGAGAGCCCGGTGATGGATGACCCGAGCGCGGAGCTGGAGCGCGAGCTCGCGGGGACGCACCTCGGGCAGCGCGCGTGAGGGTGCATGCTCCGGTCCCAGTGCGGGGCGATTCAGATGCGTGGGGGAGACGGGGAGGGCGGGTATTTATTGGTTTGGGCTACGCAAGCGATGCAAGGAAGGAAGGATGGGGCGGCGCGGAAGCGAGGTGTACGATGTACAGTACTTGTGACTCGTCACGTAAGTTACAGTAGGCTTGCTCACACAAATATACCTCACGTATGTAAGTTATACCTTGAGCGGGGCGTGTGGTGCATAATGTGTGCTGACTGTCGGCACCGTATGTAGAGTGGGTTGGGCGGCTCGGGCTGGGCGCGACGGGCTGGCGGGCGAAGGGGGTGTCTGCAGTCAGCGGGCTTCTGACAGGGCTGAGCTGTCTGTTCCTGTGAGCCGCCGAGATGGTGCTGTGGCGAGGACATAGCCGCAGCCAGACAGAGAGCGAAGTACTGTGCGTACGTGACGGACGCACATATGGCAACGTCCTAGAACGGAGGGCGACGCCCCAGTACACCCTGGGCTACCCGCTCGAGGACCTCGAGACCGGCATGCGGTTCGGAGGACCACGGTAGCGCGTCGACGCTCCGACGCGCGCGGTCCTGAGCTGGGGGCCGTCGGAGAAGCGACTAATAGGACGGAGTAGATTGGGCACAGACTCGGGCCAGCGGGTCGACGAGAGGGCCGGTATGGGTGCGTGCTGGTAGGCTGGCAACGGTAGTGTCGAGGTGTACTGTCCCCGAGCGTGATAAGTATAGCGAAAGCCCCAGATGTGCAGTTGGAGGGAGTGGGGATGGGAAGGGCCGACCTGGCGGCGTGACTGTAGCGAGGCACTTGAGGGTGAGACGGTGGTCAGACGGAGAGCACTCGCACGAAGGTTTATGCGTTCATGTCCTGGGCGATCGTAGGTCTGCAGTGCGCGTGCCGCGTTGCCGTGATTGGCAACGAGAGTCCCGACTTGCCGTAAGGGGAGCCTGCGCAGTGAGGCTACGGTGCCTCAAGTCGCGCAGGCTACCGTGTACGAGGCGTCAGATACCCAGAGGTCGTGCACGATAGCTTGGAAGTGGAACGGAACACTCACGAAATTGCTAAGTCGCGTCCGCGTGCGAGACTGGGTATCCTCTGTTGCAGACTGGCAGACGTCTTCAAGGAGTGTGCTGCTTGGCTTGACACGGATCACAACTCCGCAAGGGAAGGCAATCAGCCGTGAGATGGGTCAGCGTACGCAGGCTGAGTAGGCCGGTGCAAGACCGGCGGACGGAGGGAGCGCGATGGGATCAGCGGTGTGCATTGGTGCGCGTTTGTGAGTTGATTGTGTTTCGACATACGGACTGTGCAGCATTTGTTGGCGCTGCGAGGGCGTGATGGAGGTTAATCGGGGGCCGATGCCAATTGTGATTTCGAGCAGAGGGAGTGCGCTTGGCGGTCTGCGGTGCACCGAGGCTGGGGCCCGAGGAGATGCTGGGAGGATGTTGGAAGGCATGGCAGCGCGACAAAGAGCGGAGATGATAGCGGGATGAGGAGGATATGAAGGGAGGATGCTTGCTGTGCGGAGGACGCATGGCGGACGGACGTGCCTGGGAGGGCGAGGACGGGGGAAGCGCGGCATGGGGACGCAGACAACGCACGACGCGCAGTCGCAGCGGCGGCTGAGGGCGACAGACGTCGCGCCCCGGTGGCTGACGTCGCTGACGGGCTGCTGACGGACGGTGGACAGACGCACAGCAGTGGCGAGCGCGCGATTCGCCCGATATGGCAGCGGGACTGCCTATTGGGGGGAGGAGGCGGCGGCCGCGGGGTTGGCATGGGCACGTGGGCGTCTCTGGACTCGTCCAGCCAACGGCGAGAGCGTCGACCGCGCAGCCGTATAAGAGTCGCCGCCACCGCTGACGGGCATCTGCCACTGACACTGTCAGAGTCTGAGAGCGAGCCACGCCACAGTCATCACACCCGCACAGCCGACGCTAGCCTTCATAAGCCCCCGCTAGCCGACTCTCCTCTCATCCTCTCCTTCGTCTTCCTTCCTTTCTTATAAACCCATTTCGCCCGGCTGGTCGCCCAGGGTGCTGGTCTCTCTCCTTTTCCCCTTTCGGCTTCTCCTTCGCTACTCTAGCCAGGCGCTCTTTCCCTCTTCTCTTCGTCCGTCCCGCACGTCGACCCCCGCACCATGTCTCTCAAAGCAGAGCTCGAAACATGGGCCGCCGCCCTCAAGGCCTACGATGAAGAGGACTTTGAAAAGTCCCTCGAGCTCTTTGCCACCATCGCAGACTCCTCCAAGATCCTCACCAACACCGGCCTCATCTACGCTACCCTCGGCGAGCACGAGGCCGCCGTCGAGCAGTTCGCCGCCGCCTGCCAGCTCGACCAGTACCTCGCCGTCGGCTACTTCCAGTCCGGCGTATCCAACTTCCTCCTCGGTCGCTACGACCTCGCCCTCCGCGACTTTGACGACGCCCTCCTCTACATGCGCGGCAACACCGACATCAACTACGAGCAGCTCGGCCTCAAGTTCAAGCTCTACTCCGCGGAGGTCCTCTTCAACAAGGGCCTCACCAGGATCTACCTCGGCCAGGTCGACGACGGCCTCCGCGAGCTCCAGGACGCCCGCAAGGAAAAGGTCACCGACGAGCACAATGTCATCGACGACGCCATCGCCGACCGCGGCGACGGCTACACCGTCTTCTCCATCGTGCGTACCCGACCTCCTCCCTCGCGACCGTCTCCTCACCGTCTCCCGCGCAGCCCGTGGGCGTCCTCTACCGTCCCGCGGAGAAGAAGCTCAAGAACGCAAAGACGAAGGACTACATGGGCAAGGCGGTGAGTGCGATCGCCCGGCGTCCACGACCTTGTACTGGGTGCCGTCTCACGCGACACTGTGCCTCCCGCGCTGAACCTGCCCGCTGACTGGGCCACCTAGAAACTCGTCGCCGCCGAGGACGCGTCGCAAGCGTTCACCGAATTCACCGGCGTAGCGCGCATGAAGCAGTCCATGGGGCTCACCCCCGACGCCGCCAGCCCCCTCACCCGCTCCGCCACCATGGCGAACCCCGTCGCGGCCCCGAGTACGTCCCCTCTCGCTCCTTCGCTCCGCGCTGACACCGCCCGCAGAGGCCGACGACGACTTCCGCGCGCCGCCCCTCCAGCGCGCCAAGACCACCATCAACGTGTCCGTCGCCCCGCGCGCCAGCCCCGCCTCCGCCCCGCCCGACCGGCCCGCCAACGCCTTCGCGTCCACCCCGCGCGCGGGCTCGCCGCCGAACAACCCGCCCGCGTCCGCCGCGCCGCTCGGGCGGTCCAACACGTCCGCGGGGCGGCTCGGGTCGGGGATGGGCCCGACGCGCGGGCTGAGCATCCGCAAGCCGGGCGCGCCCGCGCCCGCCGGGCCCACGGGCGTGCGCACGACCGAGATCTACGACAGCTACCTCGACGGGTACGCGGACGAGCCGCTGCCGCCCGTGCCGGAGCTGCGCGCGGGCCAGGGCCAGGGCCCGCGCCGCGCGGGGACGCTGCGCCAGCCGCAGAGCATGTACTCGAACGCGGGGACCGCGGGCGGCGGCGGCGGCAGCATGCGGAGGCGGCCGACGCGCCGGCCGACGATGGCGAAGCGCGCGGTGAGCTCGTACGAGGAGGAGGAGGGGTACGAGAGCGGGGAGTGGGACGAGGGCCCGATGGAGCTCATGAAGATCCGCGTGAAGGTGCGTGCGCGCGCGGGTGGGGCGATGATTCGGGTGCTGACGGCGGCGGTGTGTAGCTGCACTACAACGACGACGTGCGCGGGATGGCGTTCGCGCCGGACATGCCGTGGGACGAGTTCCTCGACCGCGTCACGGGCAAGTTCAACCGCGCGCTCGACGGGCTCGGGATGAAGTTCAAGGACGAGGACGGCGGCAAGGTGCGCGGCGCCCGCGTGCGCTCTCTCTGTTCTGGCGTGCGTGTGCTGACTTGGGGGCAGGTGAGCCTGCGCGACGAGATGGACTACGAGCTCGCCATCGAGACCGCGCGCGAGAGCGCGAAGGGCAAGTCGGAGGGCAAGCTCGAGATCTGGTGCATGGACGAGTGAGCGAATTCGCCGTCCTGCGGGAGCCTCGCTGCCGTTCGTCGCCGTCGAGTTAGTCTGTTCGACGGATATCAAGGAAGCTGGAGGTTGGGAAAGTGTCGATCACTGATGTCGTGGACTGCGTTTGTTTGCTCTTTTGGTCGTCTTTTCTTTGTTTTGTTTTCTGTTCTGTCTGCTCATATGGCCTCCCGGAATCTCAACCACCGCTTGCTCGGATGTACTTGTCGCCGCACGGTGCATACATATTAGAACGACGTGCGTACTGCAATTAATCGCGGTCTCCTCTCAGGCTGCCCGTGGCGCTCGACGTCGGGCGGTCTGGCGAGACGACCGTATACATATATGCTACGGAGTTACTGCTGAATGCTAGTATAGTGGATGTACTGCGCGTATACCTCCTCGCAATGGACGGCGGTCATCTGCATCCAGTACGGTGTTCCCGTGGCGAAGGGCATAATAGGCTTCCTAGACGCGAAGAGTGCAGCGGCGGACGTGCCAGAGGTAAGGGTAAGAGAGGTCAGAGAAAGGGGCAGCAGACTGCAGAGGCTGAGGCGTCGACTGGTGTACCCCCGATGAGCTTGACCTGGGACCATGGTCGTCGTGGTTCGATCGCAGGTTCGCAGGGTCGAGTGACACGTAGCCAGCACATAGCATAGGCATGCGATCCCTGCAAGAGTGGGTGGAGCTCGTCAGACGGGCGGGGAGAGGCCGGAAGTATGAGATCGTGGGCCGGAGACTGTTCGTGTTCCGAGTCTTCCTAGGAGCGATACTTGAGCGCGGGTGCGACAACGTAGTTCTGAACGGAGTAGAGGTCTGGTTGGGTGCGTCGTTCTGGGGAGTCGCACTGCCGATGGGCTGGTGCTTGATGACATGTTAACTTCGCGACTGGTGAAATGTGAGTGTTGACGAACGCGAGCGATGGGTGCACTCAAGCCGATCAGAATATGCTCGTGGGACCGCCACACAAGCTTCAATCACCTATTCGGGTTTGTTAACAGCAGACGGAGCCGGTGCAGAATGAGCCTCGGCCAGTCTTGGCTTCTTCGCATCCGGAAGCTCTGCGACATCCGCGTCCCGTTTTTGCGTTCGGGCGACCACGTTGGAAGGGAGCGCTCTGGTTGCCCACTCGCGCCATTCGAGCAGCGACGGCCGCTGCTGGGGATCATCCGCCTTCAGCGTCGTCGCGATCGTCCTCAGAAGCCCGTCTTGTTCCCCAATCGTATCGAGCAAGTGCAGAACGACGTGCCCGCACGACCATCGGTCAGCCTTGATCGGGCTGTACGTCGGCACCTTTTTTGCGACCTCGGGCGCCTTCCAATGTCTCGTCCCAGGGTAGTCGTCGACCTCGTCGTCTTCGTCTTGCAGTTGAACCGCAACGTCGAAGTCGATGATTTTCAGGCAGTAGTACCCGTCGTGTACGAGGTTATCCGGCTTGATGTCCCTGTGAGCGACGAGGTGCTTGTGGAGGAACGCGACGCCCTTGACGAGGCCCCAGCAGAGTCGAACGGCCTTGCCAGAAAGGGACCCAGGAGCGCGATCGAGGGTGCCTGCGACAGAGGACATCTTGGGCAAGATCATCCACGGCCCGGACGGCGAATGGAACGTATCGAGTATCGAGATGATGTGCTCACGGCCTGGCTCGGTGGTGTCGAGGAGTTTGAGGAGCCTGAGCTCGTCTGAATGCTCGCGCACTTTCTTTGCGATGAGGCGCGCTCCCCGGCCGTCAATTCTGTCGACGGCGCGGATGTTGGGCGGGAACTGGAGACTTGGGGTCAGAATGGTGCGTGACAAGCACGACGGGACGGCGCACCGTTTCGAACGGCTCCCACACGACGCCACTACTGTCCACAATGACATACGATGTCACCTCGTAGCCGTGCGCCCTGAACTCTGCCGCCTCTGCTCCGTCTGGGCCCGCATCGCCCGCATCTGAGCCTCGATCGCTACCACCACTGCCATCCATGCGAGGGCGTTTGTTCGACTTGCCGGGAGAGAACCACTGCATGTAGACACCTGCTTTGGACACCTTTGCTCGATACGCGTTGATTATCGCATCCGTAGCGTCGCCATCGTCGCCGTCGTGCAGTGTGTAGAGTAGGTTGTACAGCCGGCGAACGAAAGTGACCCGTTCAACCGGACTGTCCAATTGCTGGATGTCGTTATAGTAATAGACCTATGCTAGCTCAGTGATGCCACTTGGCCATGAATCAATGAACGTACGATGCGACGCTTCTCCTTCACCTGGAATAAGGTATAGGTAGTCACTGTGCCATTCCCGGCAATATAGACGGCGACGAGCACAAAGTTCTTCTTCTCCTTGAATTCGTCCATGAACGTGTTCGCCATCCGCACGACAGCGGCGCCTTGCAGGACCATCCGGACCAGGTCCTCGGCCCACGACATCGTCGGGCATGACTGCACCTCGACGAGCAGGCGAGGATCAGACGACTTCGACAAGAGGAAGTCGCTGTGCGGCGTGTACATCCGGTAGGGACTCTCACCAGACCGGGCGCAGAGACGCTGGCACTGCGTAATGAGCGTCAGAGGCCACGCCCTGTCGCGTCTGTATGTGTGGGCAAGGACGAGTTACAGCCTGGGATGAACGCGGCGAGCAAGCGGTCACGTACCGCCGAGCACTGAGGGTTGGGTTCCGCGGAACAGACGCCATGAGGCCGAAGAAGAACATCGCGTACGCCGCGGCTTCCTCCAGGCTAGGTTCCAGACTGGCGAGGCCATGTGTCCAGAATCTCTCCCACTCGATGGACGCGACCCAGTTGATATGGGCCGCCTCAAGTTGGCTGACGGCGCGGCGCTGCGTCTCTTCTTCCTCCTGGGGCCTGGATGGATCCTTCGCGGCGACTGGCTCCTCAGTACGCCCGGGTCCGCGTTCGACGGCGGGATCGCCAGATGGCCCGCCGTCGTCCGCAAGGCCTTTTTGCTCGGGGAGCAGGGCATACGCAGCCCACGCGTCGCGGTCGACGCACAGCTCGGCTAGCTACGGCATCCCGTCAGCAACGAGGACCGAAACCATTACAGGATAACGCGCACGTCGTCGGGTAGGTCCGGTTTCCTGTCCAGCGTGTCGCGGAACCGCTCGACAAACGGCGGGACCGCCGCTGTTTCTTTGATGTCGTTCAGAGCGATGTCGGACTCCTGGAAACATCCTGGCTCCGTCACTTGGACGAAGATGTCGCTGTATTCGCGGACCAGGTCCTGCGTGGCCCGAGCAGAGGCGTCTTCCGACGGCACACTCGTTGAGCACGCAGAATGCACGCAAAGGGATGTACTCACCATCCGCAGACGGAGGGTCGCCTATGTTCGGGTAGCGTGTGCGGCTGAGCATAAGCCAAGCGAGAAGGGGTACGACGTACCTCGGGCGGCGGGGAGCTGCACCAGAACAGTGGTGCAGTCCTCTGGCCATCCGTCCTCTGCCCTCACCGTCTCGGCGGGCGCGAGCAGGCGCTTCTGCGCTGGTGCTGGGTCCCCGGGCGGCACGGGCGTGCTATCCACAAGCAGCTTCCACGGGGTTTCCAGCTTCCACACGCGGAGCCTCGCGGGATGGACATCGTTGAGCTTGGGGCGGACGAAGTCCTTGACCCCCTGCTGGAATGAAGCGATGGTGGTGCCTTCAGACACTGTCACAGGCCAAGACCAGTGTCCGTCGGGCTCGAAGTTGTCGCGGACGAAGTAGAACCAGATCGTAAGCTGTGCCGCCATGGTGGGGGTGGGAGAAGGACCGGTGAAGGTATAGGTTGACTGCAGGAGGTTTGGCGCAAACCCCTGTCGCGGTAACCTCGGTCCTCATTATTGACTCTGAGGGGTTTACCGCGCGGCCGTGTATACGCGTCAATAAGAGCAAATAACGCGTCTCTTCGCGCGACAACAGTGCCTACGGCGAGTTCACGTTGATTCTCTAGGTAAGTCTTCAATATATCGGAAGGACATGCGCTCGCTCTTACGTTGCTCATGATTATCAACTCAAAGTATCAGACAAGTCATAGACGGACACGACCCCTTGGTCGCGCTCGCTAATTGGTCCTGGCGAAACTGCCATGTTTCTCATCACCCGTGCATGTGCCGTGAATCCGGACACGCCATGACCGTACAAGGATATCAGTCCTGTCACGGCGTCCACGTTCTGCGGACGGTCACGGTTGTAGTCTACACGGGCGAAGCTGATCTGGTCGACTGACTGGGATGAGTGCATACACTCGCAGTGCGGACTCGGACCAGGAATATGGTCTCGAGAGGCCATGCGTGAGTGTGAGGGAGCTGTGGGAGTCGTGGGGACCAGGAAAAGTACCGGCGGGATTCAGTGGTGGCTGAAGGAACGGGGCGTGATGATGTTCGGATAGGCTGCACGGAAGATGGTGAGCCTCGAGGCATGAAAGTTAGTTTTAAGGATGGCAGTGCCAGCGCATCTACACGTCAGTCAGTAACGCGGTCAAGACGTTTTATCAGGGGATGGACTGGTGATCGCGTCGAGTGAACAGTGCGGCAGATATATTGGAGGACGACCGAGGCACGAGCGCACGCAGAGCAACTCTGTACATACTGATGCACTCAAGACACTCCGGCGAAGACATCCATGGTGTCGAAGTGATATCCCATGGCCTTGATCATGTCGTCGGGAGATGCAGGTCTCTTGAACGCGCGGCAGCCCGTCTGCCGCCCACCGGCCTTGCGGCAGCGCCAGCAGAGGTGCTTGCGATGCTGTTCGTCCTGGAAGGCGAGTTCCGGGTCGGACGGAACGCGCGGCGGGCGGAGGTGGGCAGTCCGTCCTGAGCTGAGGCCGAGCTTCCGCGGCAGGCGGGTGGTGCGCGCCTTGAGCCTGTTGAGGACGAGGCGGGTGCGCGAGGGAGGCTGGGTGGGTTGTGCGATGTTGGCGCGGTCGCGGAAGGCGGCGCTGAACTGGAAGCGCTCGAAGGGAGGCGGGTGCATAGCGTGGCTGGATGGCATGGAGGCGGTGTGGGCCGGCTGAACGTCGAGGGACGCGGAGGGACGGCCGGGGCGGACAAATCGGACGGGGGTGTTCATGCGGAGCTTGGGGCTGGCTGAGGCGGAGGAGGGAAAGTAGGAGATGCGGGCGACCTCGAGCGGGGACAGCACCTGCGGCCTGTCGTGCGAGACAGAGGGCGCGAGCAGATGGGGAGCCGGCTGCGGGCTGGGCAGCTGCAGCGGCGTGGACGGCGAGCGGGCGAGGGTGCGGTGCAGCGGGATCATCGTGGGCGGCGGAGGAGGCGGGCGTGGCAGCGAGCAGGGGGCGGCGGAGGAGGCGGGCGTGGCAGCGAGCAGGGGGCGAAGGCGGCGGCCGCGGTGGCTGACGGTGGGCGGGAGGCCCTGCAGCAGGGTTAGGGTTGGGAGTCACGATATGGCTCGGTTGCCGTCGACGCCCTCTCTCCCCGCCACCGCCACCTCCATTCCTCTTGCTCATATTTATAGGGCCACCTCCCCCCCGCCTCCCACCATGCCTCTCCCCGACGAGCTCACCAAGCCCATCGATGTCCTCCTCATCGACAACTTCGACTCCTTCACCTGGAACCTCTACCAGTCCCTCTCAATCCTCGGCGCAGACGTCACCGTCGTCCGCAACGACGCCATCACCCCCGACGACTTCCCTCACCTCCACATAAACTCACTCATCATCTCTCCTGGCCCCGGCCATCCCACCACAGATTCCGGCATCTCTCGCGACGCTATCACATACTTTACAGGAAAGGTCCCCATTCTCGGAGTCTGCATGGGCCTCCAGTGCCTTGTTGACGCATACGGAGGGCAAATCTCGTGAGTCGTCCCGCATTTCGTTTCGATTGCTTTGCCAGACGAGACACGTTTGGCGGTTGTCGAAGGGCGGATTGCATCGCGGGGAGTCGCCTCGCCAACAGCTCTTTTCATCCGCCATCTCCATCCATAAACTATTTCTGCCACGGAACATAGCTCATTCGCTGACCTTCCGAATCTCCAAACGCTTCCCCGCCCCACATCTCAAACGATACGAATGCTGACCATGTCCCCAGATACGCGGGCGAGATTGTCCACGGCAAGGTCTCGCACGTCATGCACGACGGTCGCGGCATGTTCAAGTCCGTCCCGCAGTCCATCAAGTGCACCCGCTACCACTCCCTCAGCGCCGGCGCACCTTCCCTTCCAGACTGCCTCGCCGTCACAGCGACGACGCAAGAGAGCGGCGTCATCATGGGCGTCCGTCATCGCGAATACACCATGGAGGCCGTGCAGTACCACCCAGAGAGCATCCTCTCAGAGTCCGGCGACGACCTCCTCCGCAACTTCCTCAATGTCAAGGGCGGCCGCTGGGATGCGGAGGAGAACAAGGACTTTGGCGTCTTCGGCGAGGGCAGGGACGGGCTGAAGACCGCAAACGGCAGCGCGCACGCAAACGGTCAGCCAAACGGCCAGGCCGACACACGAGTGCACGCAGGGCCTTCAACATCTGTCAACGGCCCCGGCAAGGTGCCCACGATTCTCGAGCGGATATACGCACAACGCTTGCGCGACGTGGAGGTGGCGAAGGCTACCCCCGGGACGTCCCCCGCCGACCTCGACGCCCTCCTCGCCATGTCGCTCGCGCCCCCGCTCACGTCCTTCGTCGACGCCCTCCGGCGCGCACCCCGCAAGCCCGCCCTCCTCGCCGAGATCAAGCGCGCGTCCCCGTCCAAGGGCAACATCGCGCCGAACGCGAACGCAGCGCAGCAGGCCCTGACCTACGCCCTCGCGGGCACGTCCGTCATCTCGGTCCTCACGGAGCCGACGTGGTTCAAGGGCAGCCTCCTCGACATGCGCCTGGCGAGGCAGGCCGTCGACGCGCTCGCGGAGCGTCCGGCGATCCTCCGCAAGGACTTCATCTTCGACGAGTACCAGATCGCGGAGGCGCGTCTGCACGGCGCGGACAGCGTGCTGCTCATCGTCGCGATGCTCTCCGAGGCGCGTCTGCAGGCGCTCTACACGTACGCGCGGGCGCTCGGGATGGAGCCGCTCGTGGAGGTGAACAACGCGAAGGAGCTCGGCGCCGCGCTCGCGCTCCCCGCGCGCGTCGTCGGCGTGAACAACCGCAACCTGCACGACTTCAGCGTCGACATGCAGACGACGAGCCGCCTCGCGGAGAGGCTCGCCGGCGCGGACGTCGTCCTCTGCGCGCTCAGCGGGATCGCGGGCCCCGAGGACGTCCGCACGTACGTCGGCGAGGGCGTCGGCGCGGTCCTCGTCGGCGAGAGCCTCATGCGCGCGGAGGACCCGCGCGCGTTCATCCGCACCCTGCTCGACTGGCCCGCGCCGCCGTCGCCCGCGACGCTGGCCCCGGACGGCGCGAAGGGGAAGGAGCGCGGCGCGGAGCGGCCGCTCGTGAAGATATGCGGGATCCGCACGGAGGACGACGCGCTGGGCGCAATGGAGGCGGGCGCGGACATGCTCGGGCTGATGTTCGTCCCGACGAGCAAGCGCGCCGTCTCGCTCGCGCAGGCGCAGGCGATCAGCGTCGCGGTGCACGCGTCGCGCTTCGCCCGCCCCGTCCGCTCGTCCTCCCCGCCGCTCTCCCCCGCCACGCCGTCGCCGCGGAACAGCTACCTCGCGGGCCGGCTCGCACAGGCGCAGGCGCAGGCGGGCGCGGGCGCGGAGATGGCGCGGGTGCCGTGGTTCGCGGCGCACGCGACGGCGGCGCGGGAGGCGGTGGCCCCGCAGGACTCGCCGAGCCGCCCGCTGCTCGTGGGCGTGTTCCAGGACGCGCCGCTGGAGACGATCGTGCGCGCGGTGGAGGTCGCGCACCTGGACATGGTGCAGCTGCACGGGCGCGAGCCCGCGGAGTGGGCGCGCTTCCTGCCCGTGCCCGTCATCCGCGTCGTGCACGTCGGCGAGAGTGGGGTGGACGCGGTCGCGGAGGTCACACGCCCCGGGCTGAACCAGTTCGTCCTCCTGGACGCGGTGCGCCCCGGCGGCGACGGGCTGAGCGGCGGGAGCGGGGCGAAGCTGGACTGGGAGGTCGCGCGGGCGGTGGTCGAGCGGGGCGAGGTGCCGGGGGTGAAGGGCGCGGAGGGGCGGATGCCGATTATACTCGCTGGCGGGCTTACGCCGGAGAACATCAAGGAGGCGGTCGAGACTGTCCGTCCGTGGGCTGTCGACGTCAGCGGGGGCGTGGAGGGTGCCAGTGGACGGCGCAAGGATACGGCGAAGGTGCGGGCGTTCATCAAGGCGGCCAAGGGCTGGTGACGAGGGAAGCTGTGATGGAGTTGGTAGGATGTTGCGGTGCTTTCGATGTCGAGACTGCTGTTAAAAATATGCTGTTTTGTTGGCGTCGGAGTGTATATACGTCTAGTCACGAATGTCTCGCGTGTCGTTGCTGATACTGTACGGCAGATCTGTTATATACCACTGTTCGAATCTCTCCTGAGTGCATTCTCGAGCGGGCGTAGTTGCGCTAATGGAGGCGGGACGATCATCTGCTAGAATCACATGCACCGTGTTCTGGTCAGTGACGAAGGGCTAGCGCTTGTGGGATACTGTACACCGCGACGTTCGTCGCGCTCTGCTCCTCTCTCTCATCGTCTCTCGTCTGCTCGGTATCATGCCGCACATCCCGCTCATTGGCCGCCTCACCGCGCGGGAATATACCGCCATCCTTTTTGGTTCCATATTTGTTACCCTCGAAACCATCCTCACTTTCATCATCGCATTCCTCCCGACGTCCGTCATCCAATGGTTCTACGACCACTCTCGCACTCTCTGGCACACCGTCGTCGGCCCACCGTCCCCACCGTCCCCACAAAAGGCTCTTGCAGAGAAGATCCGCCTCGCGTCCGACTTTGAACGGTTATGCGAGATCTTTGGCTACACGCACGAGGAGCACGTCGTCTTGACCAAGGACGGATACCTGCTCGGGCTGCACAGATTGCCCTTCCGTCGCGGAGAAGATTCAGGGAGGCGGGGCGCCAGCACCGGCAAGCCCGTCGTGTACTTGCACCACGGCCTCTTGATGAACAGCGAAGTCTGGATCTGCCTCACTGACCCGGCGCGGAGCCTCGCGTTTACCCTCGTCGAGCTCGGCTTCGACGTCTGGCTCGGGAACAACCGCGGAAACAAGTATTCGAAGAAGAGCATCCACCACAACCCGAACAGCACAAAGTTCTGGAACTACAGCATCGATGACTTCGCCTGGCATGATATCCCGGACTCCATTGAATACATCCTCGACGTGACGAAGGAGCCGAGCCTCAGCTACGTTGGCTTTAGTCAGGGCACCGCGCAGGCATTTGCAGCGCTGAGCATTCACCCACAGCTGAATAACAAGGTCAATGTCTTCGTCGCGCTCGCACCCGCCATGAGCCCGCCCGGTCTGCACGCGTCCATCGTCGACGGGCTGATGAAAGCTTCGTGAGTGACAGATCACATTCATGCATGTTCCGTGTTGACAGTGTATTTCGGGAGCCAGTCCCACCCTTCTGTTCCTAATCTTCGGCCGCAGAGCGATCCTCTCTTCTGCGCCCGCCTGGCAATCACTACTCTATCCGCCCGTGTTCACCTCCGTCATCCACCACTCCCTCCGCTTCCTCTTCGGCTGGCAATCCAAGAACATCTCCCCGCTGCAGAAGTCCGCCGCGTACGCGCACCTCTACTCCTTCTCCTCCGTCAAGGCCGTCGTGCACTGGTTCCAGATCATGCGCAACGGCAAATTCCAAATGTACGACGAAGACGTGCAGAAGGTCATCCGCGTCTCCGGCGCCGCGGCGGAGAGGCACCGCCCGAGCGGCGTGACGAGCTACGCCCCCGCGCGCTTCCCGACCAGGAACATCGTCTCGCCGGTCGTGCTGCTGTACGGCGACTCCGACTCGCTCGTGGACATCGACATGATGCTGCGGCAGCTGCCCGGCCATACGATGGCGCGCAGGCTGTATGGGTACGAACACTTGGATATCATCTGGGGCGACGAGGTCGATAGGGATGTGCATCCCCATGCGGTGGAGGCACTGAGGCAGTACGCGGTGCGCCCGGAGAGGGTGCGGAGCGAGGTGAAGCTGAATGGGGTGAACGCGATAAATGGTGCGCTCGAGTCGCCGGACACGATCTCGGAGACGACTTCGACATACGGGGTCGAGCCTGATCGGTAGTGGTTATGCACGATACCTTACTGAACTTCACACCTTACCCCACCTGTAATGCTCATGGTGTTCAGACATAGGCAACTCTAATGACAAAGCCACAATTTATGACAGTCTGCTGATGCCTTACACATGCAAGTTTACATTACAGGTGAAACCTGCTTCATAGGTAAAGCTTCCGAAAAGATTCAAAAGATGGGAAGTATGTGCACTTTAGTGTTAACCAGTCACAAGTCAACCAATAAATTGTGGCTGTGACAAACCAATTCCTTTTGAGGGGGTAGGTCATACATTCAACATTGCTCATAGGAGTTAACAGGTCAATTCATGAACAACAGTGTATTAATCCAATGATAATGTGGCTTGTGGTCCCTGAGTGTATGGTTCAATAAATGTGATAGCATAAGCACAACAACACGCAATGACTTGTAGAGGAATAATGAGCAAGACTGTAAGCCTCAGAGCTCACAACACATCACTTCCATACTTGCTGGGGAAAAGGCCATGGCTGGCAGTACAATCCCATTGGTTTAGATACATGTTGATTTTGTAAATAAATTCATTATTTCACATTTTGCACTATTGAGTTGCTGCCTGATGGCACAAATATTCCATGTAGCCTTGTTATCTATGTGGTTTTTAGACTACATGCTCAATCAATAGCAACATCACATTTGATCGATTATACACAATTTGTTGTGAATCCTTCATGCACTGCTATATTCATAGAAAACTGTCTGTGAAGAGCACAGACTTACACTGAAACTTCCACATGAAATAATTATCAGTGCCTTGCCTGGGCATTCTAATGATGCCTACTCTCAATGGCCAAGGTCTTCAGTCTCTCTTGAACACAATAATTTCCATATCTTCAGCCATACTCCTGAGATGATTTTCAGTTACATTTTCTGGCTGTCAGTTACTTCTTTTATGTGCATACACATAATATGCTGCTATATGGCTCAACCACCATATTTCTCTCATGGTACCACCCTCTCAATATATCTAGATTCCCTACTGTTTTGTTTGGGATAGCAGGTACCATTCAGGATTCACTGCCAAATTTGATACTAGAAGTTACCTCCCCAAGATATTGCAATGCACCATGTGTACTAATATCTACTTCATAGACCCTCCCATGTGTATCCAATTCTGCTCAAATGGCACACAGTTCAGACCTGGGCCCATAGTGTTATTTGGCTACTTTGCATATACCATCAGAAACCCTGCCTGAGTAACTGACACTGAATAATCCATTGAAAAGGGAAGATTTGCAACCAATGGGAATATAAATGGTGACTTGAGGCCTAGACAAACACAGTATCATGTTCTCCTACAAGTTCAATGTGGTGCTGGCCTTTTGATTGCTGCTTAGTAGGTCTGCACTATTGCCAGAGAAACAATGACTTTCTCTGAGCCCCAAAAGTAGAGGAATCACAGCATGCACATGTAGCCCAACATGGAAACTGGTCTGTGAGCAAAAATAGACATTGAATGCACAGACACTGAGGGTCATCAATGCATCATGCAATCATTTGAACAAGCCAAGGACTAACTATTTTGTCTGTACTCTGGGTCATGTTTCCACATATCCAGGGCAATGGCATGACACTGAATGACAATAGGACCTGGTAATACATCAGCCCATCACATAATGGTAATCCATGCAGAGGTTCTCTTTTTTGGATATCACAGATTCATACTAGGTGTCTGGGATTTACACTCACAACATCATGAAAATGAAAACTATATTGGGCCAAAATCCCAGCCACCTTAGAACTCAACAAGCCCTTCTTGTTTTATGTGCGCTGTACTCACCTGCACTCTTGTGTGAAGCCATGTTGTGATGTTCTCAGAATATTAGAAAGAATGTTAGAAAGAATCCACAGCCACTGTGTAGAAAGTAGCAGGTGCTTTTTTGCAGTGAGAGTAGGGTGAGCTGGCCTGACAAGGAAGCTGACCATGCTGTTTGAGATAGCTCGGTATGTATGTTGCCAAACCCATCCACATGAGCAATAATCACTTCCATTATCTGTATGTATCATCCTGTTAGGCACAACACATGAGCAAAGTTTCCACTTACAGTTGAGGAATCCAAGAGAACCAGGATGATTTTTCTTGTGCTCAGATCACAGTGTATCGGCATATGATGCACATGCATTTGGTAGATGTGTAGCAAGATTCTACAATTTCTACTGACAGTCTGAGGGCTCATTGTAAAGTGAGAGTCCAGTGACTGACTAAATAGGGTAGTTGAGATTGTGATTTGATATAGTATATACAAAGCAGGTGATTTGTGTACATTCTGGATGTTGTGAATCTGTGCATTGTGTGGCTAAACCAGACATTCTCCAGGCAGTTACCATGTGAGAATTGATAACTAAGTGTGGATCATACTGGGTAATTTGCACTGCTTCATACTGACAAGAGGCAAAGACATGCTTATATTGGTATAATATGGTTGTTGACATCAGGCTATGGACATGACTCAGCACAAATGTTCTGTCACATATCAGCCTACAGCAGTCAGCACAGTATTAAGCTACAGGAATATCTGATATCATCTTACTTCCTGCCATTTATTAAACACTGTAGAGACCAACAAGGACTGTATGACATTGCTAGCCTATAGAGTTATCTAGTAAGAGTAGTAAATGCACAATACAACTTGTACAATGTCTCTGTGTCACATTCACTTTCTGGGATCAGTATAGTGTGAACAAATTCTGGTCATTTTGATTGCTGCCATTGTACAAGGGACATGCCATGCAGAGTCAATAGTATGAGAATACTCAGAATTAATGGGCTCTTGTGCCATAGGTGTTCACCATTTGATAATGATGGTCTGCCCAATGGGCGAGACAGATGCCAATCACTACTTACAACAAGCAGTACAAGGTGAGTGGAATCATACAGAATATTCCCTTGTTCAATCTGCATCATCTGAGCCCAGACTTAACAGGTAGCTCAGAATACCCTTTTTGGGAAGGTCAGCTACCACATATGTCAGGTTTCAGGTCTCTATAGCCACACAATTCATAGGCAGTTGGTAAGCATCACAGGAAACACAAAGAGTGTAAAAGTGATTGTGAGTGTACAGAGGCATGTGGACTGTCTTTTACATTATGGAGTGCCATAATTACATGAATCTATGGGAAGGCATACTATGTACAGAATATATGACATCATATGACTGGGAATAATTTTTGGGAGATCACAGCACAGCAAATACAGTGTGACTAATGAGCTTGTGGCTGGAATTCCAAACTTGCTGGGGAGAGGGCCATAGCTGGCAGTACAATCCCTTTGGTAGGAGATATGTCAATTTATGAACAACTTCATGCTGCCCGCATCAGAAGTCATGCTTGGCAAGACTGCTAGTATATTGTCTATGCATAGAGTACTGACATATCTTCCACATTTTGCACTTCAGAGTAGCCTGCTAATTTATTAGGTTGTTGTAATATGAGGATCATAGCTTGCAATCATGAGCAACAGACATTATGGATCTGTTTCTTACTTGGTAAATTGCCAAGTTGCTTATCAATACGATCTGAATACTAATGAGCAGTGTTACTGGTTTGTATTGATAGTAACATAGAGCAAATAGCTTGGGAATGTTGCAAAGAAGCATCGGCGAAAAGTCGCGAGCCATATCTGGCTATAGATAGGGCACCTACCTTGGTAGGCCCTTACCGTGCTGGGTTTCGACGCTCATGCCATGGATTTATGACATGGGCTTCTCCAGTCATTTATCTGACGACATCTGAGCCGATCCAGCGTTACCTATAAGATGCCCCGACGCCATTTAGTCATCGCCTGTGGTTCGGAAGGCACTGGCATGGGTCATCACCCAGCAGCTCCGATGACGTCTGCCTCGCGCAAGTGCCAGGCCGGGCACATACACCATCGTGCGGGGCGAGTCTGAGTCATCGGACGGCGGGCCATATGTGTAGGCAGCCAGGTTGGATGCCACGAGCCCTATAGCTGCTGCCCGGAGGCTCGGGTATCCGTCTCGTCCTCGGCCAAATAATAACAATTATAATGCAATTTCCAGACGACGCTTGCACGCGCGATGTACAACGGGCACGAGAAACCATACGAAATCGGAGCGCCTACATTTGACCTACGCGGCTCCTGCCTGCCAGCTCTCCCGCTCATCCGCCTGCCAGCTTTCCCGCTCGTCTGCCTACCTGTTCGAACGCCAGCCCGTTTCCCGTGGTGACGGCCGCTGTACGTGTCGCAGTGAACTGCACGGGTAAACCTCCGGGTGCCCGGGGGTTTACCCGTACCTGTATCTGCTGCAATGGGTCTCGCGGAAGTACTGCGGGTCCACGGGTCAGTAAACGGGTAGACACATGGACGAACAGATGGGTGGGTCTACGACTCGGAGGTGAGACGGCGCGAGCGGACGAGAGGTCATCTCCGCACATGGTTCCGAGAGTGGTCGAGGAACGGAGGCGCAGCGACAGTCTGAGGGGCGCAGGCGAGTGGAGGCGTGGCGGGGACGTAGACTTATCGAGCGCGGACCGGGGCGCAACAAGCGACGACGTGTGCGTCGACACGTCTGGCGGGGTGGCTTGCCGGGCACGAGATGTACTGTCCGTCTGCGCATCTTGCGGGGCGTCGTCTGCGCCTGCCTTGGTACATGTCGGGGGATCTGTCCGTCGGGCTTGCAGACACGCTGCACGTTGGTGGGACCTCCTGTCGCGGCCTTAATGCGCACTCGGGGGATCTGTCCGTCGGGCTTGCAGACACGCTGCACATTGGTGGGACCTCCTGTCGCGGCCTTAATGCGCACGTTGACACGTCGGACTCGTCGTCGCGCGAAGGGCCAGTCTGCGGTTTCTCCACCTCGGTGGTTGGACTGGCAACTGCGAGGCAACTACTGAGCGGGCAATAGTTTCGCACCGCTTGGTACTGGTCTAATAGAAGACTCCGTGACGCCCTTTCGGCGTCGCAGCTCGCTGGCGATATCCCCGGCTGGCCGGACATGGCGGGTGCTGTTTTGCTCAAGTATGAGACACGAGCGAGTGGCCCTGTTGTCCGCCTGCTCACCCGCACGTTCGTTGGTCGTGTCTGCGTGCGGGGCATTCGCCCAGCGCGCTCGCGGTGGTCGCACGGGTCGTCATCACCCGTTTGTGTGCTCGCCGGCCCTTCTGCCCTCCAACACGCTTGCTTACACATCTTCCATTTTCCTGAACATCCACCAGTGAGTGCTCCCACTCGTCTGCTCGTCAAGCATGCTCACCTGGGCCCCCGCTCATCCACCTGCCCATTCGCTTGTGCACACGTTTGTCGGCCATGCCTGCGCGCTGGGCATTCGCCCACCGATCTCGTGGTTGGCGTGTGCATCGTTATGCACTGTGCTGGTGGTCAGCTTGCTCATTGGTGCGCATCTGCACTCACGTCTCCTTCACTAATGCGCCCGCAGTTCGCTCATCGGCTGCGTCTGCACACAGGGCATTTGCCCTGCGCGCTCGTAAACAGCCTCTGTTGTGCATGTCTGGGACCTGCTCACCATCATTTCCCTCGCCTGTCCCTCGCTCGTACGCCTGCTATCCATCCATCACGCGTGTTTCTGCGTTGGGCACTCGTAGTCGTACTTGTACATGCCCGAGCCCAAGCCTGGGGGACGTCGCAGACGGATGTTAAGGCCGAGAGGGTAGTAGCAGGAAGGGTGGCAAGAGAGAGGTGGCAACGACAGAGGGAGGAGGTGAGGCTAGTGACACTGACAACGGGACAACCTCGCGAGCGACGCGTTTGGGCGTTTGCGGGGTTGCCTCTTTTGGCAATACCACCTGGGTTGCGCGCCCGCATCCCCGTGGGCAACTCGCAGACTGCAGGGCGGGTACGCGGGTACAGAGATGGCTACTCGTACCCCTACCCGCGCGGGTTGGTCCCTAAACCTGCAATGCACTACTTACGAAGGTGACCCGTGCTCTGCACCAATCAGACTGGCTGTATGCGCACACGTGACCGCGTGCAGTCGAGCGCTGAGCGCTGAGGCCTTGCCTTGAGGATGTGGACACCGACCGTGAGGTCCGTGACTCGACGCGGCCGGGTGGTAGTCTCCGTTGCAGACCATACAAGCCGGCCGCGGCAAGCGTCGCCAAGTGGGAACACTCACTGATTAGACCGCGCCAGAAACAAGACTGATGGCCCTTACTATCGGGTATTGCTTGAGTAGACTAGGCAAACGAGAGGGAAGGGAGAGGGAGAAGAGTGTAAAGCAAGGAAGAGAGGAGAAGGGAAGATGGGGGTTCGAGGTCAAGAAGGGATCCCCGTTCTTGAACGACCACGGAAGCTTTATATATCTGGTCTTGCACGCATCTACCTGTGTCATTGCCTTGTCGCGCACGCATCTACCTACGTCATCACCCGATCGGGCGAGGTGAGCTACTTGTTATGGTAAGTACGTGTTCTCGGTACTAAGCGCTGTAAGCTGCAGACGGGCTCGAGCCATGACCGGGGCGTGCGTATTGTTCAGTGCACTGCACTTACTACTGCAGGTGATGGATAGTCTATGTAGGCACGTTATGCGGGCACGGCTCACCGTAAATTCGCGTGGTCATTGTTGACTCGTACTTCACCTGCAAACTACCAGTAGCTTCGGCAACGCACTCATTCGCGGGGGCTGTTAATGGATATGTATTTCTAGAGCTGCATCGTACAACGACTGTATATCTGAGCCCCACTACAGTTGACTGACCTGACCTGGAATCAACAGAATGTCGATTATTCTCCAGAACGGCCAGCCTATGTCTGGCTATAGCTGGCGTTGGCTAGTGCTACCTAATAGGGTAAGTCACGAATTACACCGCCTCCTCCTCCCAGGCTCGATATTGATTCTGCCTTTTCGCCGATGAGTAAGGAGAGCCTCTAGATCAACTAGAACTCAAGGAAGGGGAATCTGGGGGGTTGACTACAGTAACCACTACTCAGTTGGGACTTGCTGTCAGTGCTGTTGTACAAGTATTAGCCCTTGATCAGAGAAATTCTGATACCAAAGGATGTCTTTCAGTAGATTGTTAACAGTACTTCCCCAAGTAAAAACCAATCAACAGTGGAGGATGGAACCAATATACAGAGGAGAAGTATACCAGTAAGGAATTCTGAAAAAGGCCTGTCAAGAATTGATGTGTTATACGAGGAATATAACCAAAGACTGTGCAGTTTGCTCTCACCAAAGTGAACAGTTACCAGACACTGACCGGTAGTACAAAGCCATACTAAGGTATGTTACTGGATTGGAGCTCAGCTCCTGAGTCAATAGTAATGGGCTCATGTAGTACAATGTGAAGCAATGTATCACCATAGTAAGTGCCATCAAGACTGATAGAGTCATGGGCAGGATTGATCACTGATGAATTGAAGGTACACTGGCATAAGAGTACAGAAGCAAGTGGTAGATGAGATAAATGTTTGGACTTGCTCATAGGGATGCTCCTTTTGTGCATTTATGCACAGCCTTTTAGCTACATAAAATAATTCATAGAATCCTACAAAATAGTAGAAGACTCAGTACACCACTTTCCAAGGCCATTCAAGATGCACAATAAGCTCACAGGCTCATTGTAAGGCAAGGGTAGATGTGCCAATAATTCTCACTGATCATCAAGGATGTGCTCTGTGATTCATGACACACCACTTGCATGTTGTCCTGAAACACTAGCACAGCCTTATGAACACTAGTCACTCATAGATTGCCTGCCAGCTGGGACAATATATCAATAGATAACATAGTCTGAGCTAATAGAACCCCAGTAATATCTTCAAAGCATCTGGTCACAAGGGGTCTAAGGAGAGCACTAGAAACCTGGTAATAGTCCAGTCAGAACATACACCAATAGGTGCCACAAAGAATAACAATGTGGGAAAAAAGATCACTGAAATCTGGTCAGAAAGCATTGTGAACCCCAAATGAAGTCCATTAAAAGGATCTAGACTAAAGATAACAAAGCCCAGGAGTGATAACAATTCCTGCTGCCTACCCTATTCAAAGACCATATCTATGGAATCTCTTGTAGAAAAAGGGGTTTCAATGCCTTGTCCCTAACAACAGACTGCATACTAAGACTTGCACATGGGCCTTTCCTGGGTATTCTAGTAATGCCTACTATCAATGGTCATGCTCTCTGATCATAAGTCCAGGGATTTCTATATCTTCAGACATACTCCCACGATAATCACCAGTGTCATTTTCTGGCTGACTGTTCAATATTTTGTGTGCACATACAATGTATGGTACTATATTTGGATTACACACTATATTTTCATGTTGACATTCCTTGGGCATGGCAGATACCACCCAGGATCAACTGCCAAATGGTGTACTGGTAGGCACACTGCCACATATTTCCAATGCTGTTCAAATATCACACATGTTCACACCTGGGTCTAAAGTGTTATATTTTCACTTTCCATATAACATGAAAGGACCCAACATGAGTAGCTGATATTTTATCATCACATGTAAAAGGAAACAGTTGCAGCAAATGAGAGTACTCCCAAAGTCATATTATTGACTAGAGATCCATAAAAGGACAGCCATATATTGGCTCAGAAGTCCATTGTAATATGGCCTCTTGAAGACACTGTTGCTTAGTAAGCAATGCAAGTCTGCATTATTTCCATGGCAACCATGACTTCTTCTGAGCCCAATCAGGAAGAAATCACAGCATACACTGCAATATGAGTGATAGTAGACATTGCACAAACAGGCACCACTGTCAGTACATTTTTGCCCATATGAACAAGCCAAGAGCTGCCTATTCTATCTTCACATACCAAGGGCCATTGCATGAGAATAGGATGATGGTAGTGCATACAGACATTAGATATGCTCCAGGCAAAAATTATATGAGCAATTAACAACCAAGCATAGCACCATCATACTGTATAGTTGGCACTGCTTCATATTGATACAATCAGTCAAAGACATGCTTATACTGGACTGGGACAATAGAGCTGCAGACATCAGGCTGTGAACTCTGCATTAGCACATCTGAGATGTACTGTCATGCATTGGCCTACAACAGTCAGCACAATATGATGTCATGGGATCATCTGATTTTATCTCATTTCCTACCATTTATCTAGCATTGCAGAGACCATCAAAGCATTTGATCACCTATGTGTGGTGTCCCTACTTTATGACATTGCTAGCCTATAGACTTTCTAGCAACAGTAGTAGATGCACAACACAACTTGTACAATGTCTTTCTATCACTTTCTAGGATCAGTACAGTGTCATAAAGCTCTGCAAACCCATAATATTGATAGCTATGCCATTCACATGTGAGACAGAGCCAATATTATGAACATACTCAGCATTAACTGTGGCCTTTGTGCCACAGGTGTTCACCATTTTCTGCATATGCCATTGCCTGCCCAAGGGTTTAGACATGAGCCAATCACTATTTATAGCAAGCAGTACAAGGTGAGTGGAATCATACAGAATATTCCCTTCTTTTATCCGCATTTTCTGAGCCCAGACACAGCAGATAACTCGGACTTTCCGTTTTGAGAAGGTCAGGTACCACATATGGCAGGTTTCATTCAGGTCTCATATAGCCACACAATCCATAGGCAGTTGGCAAGCATCACAGGAAACACAAAGTGAAAGAACCAGTGTGTACAGAGGAATATGTATTTTATTTTGCTTTGTGAATGGTGGGTGCCATGTTTATATGAATCCATGGGAAGGCATACTATGTACAGCCTCTCTGACATCATATACATGACTGGGAATATTCCCAATTGTTTTTGATTTTTTGGGAGACCATAGCACAGCAAATACATTGTCACTAATGAGCTTGTGGCTTGCATTCAAACTCAGCCCAATAGCCTGCCTTTGCAGGGCCTATTGAAGAGTTGAACTGAACAGAATAGCCTGGGACCCTGTCTGGAGCTGCCAGTCCCTGAGAATTCCAGGTGATAATGGTGCTTACAAGATGGACCAAGACTCATTGAAAGAGTGGCTTGTATCAGGCTGTGCATGGGAAACTCTGCATTATTATATGTTTTCTGCCATATGACCTCAACAGTCAACCCAATACAAATCCATAGTACTATCAAATCTTTCTCTGATTTTCCTGCTATTTATCCAGTCCTGCAGAGGCCATGCATGGCCAACTTCCCAAATGGGCAGGGGACTAACCATATATGGCAGTTTTGTATGTTTGATATCCTCCACCTCACAGAGCCCATACATGTGGAACTGTCTTGTACAAGCATCATACACACACCAACATTTGCTTATATCCCCAGTATCACTTGCCAAGGTCAGTACTCTGTGAAACACAACAAGAACACCTAATCTGGGCACCCTTGTCAGTACTCAAGGGGCATTCCATGGAGAAGCAATATTTTGGGACTTTTCCGCATTTAATGGGGCTCTAATAAGGTAGTGTGGCTTCAAGCCATCAAAAAACTCGGCATGAAGAGCTGAGATTGAAAGATTACTTGGAAAGGGAATCTTTGTCAGCATTCCAGCCAATGGGAGTGCTCCAAAACCCCTTTTCAGTGACCGGAGTCGTCGACAGGCCGGAATTCCGGCCTGTCGACGACTCCGCTTCGGCAACGGGCGCTTAATCGAGCGCTTAGTAAGCGATGTAAGTGCATGCTGGTACTGCAGCACAATTCACTTGTTTTGGGCTCAAGAAAATGCAGATTAATCAGATGATATTCCAGGAGATATGTGGAGCATCCCTGAGCATATTCACAAGTGGAGAAGATTCCCTATATGGTCATTCAGTGCTGAGACATCAAAACATGCATGTTATCACCATCTTTCCCCATTAATAGCTGTGCTGTGCAACTTCCAGACACACCCATGCATTGTAAACTATGCACATATCCATACAGGTCATAGGCAATGTGTTTCAGAGACAACAAGCCAGTCATATATCTGCACAGTCACTTGTGATTATCTAAATGTTGTACTTTGTTATTCATTCCTCCAGTGTATGAGAAACCCTTTGAATGATGGGCTATCAAATGGGCTCATTATCTCTATAACCTCTATAAGAGTTGATTAGATTTCAGTCAGTGTATCCCAGTCAAATGCCACACAATCATGCATGTGTTTCTCTGTTTCCTGAATTTCAAACAACTGGGCAAGTCATACTAGTCATATATTGTGGGGGCCTCCATACAGGATTGTTTTCTTACATACAGCAGACATCACAAATGATTCCAATCACAAATAATATTCCCTGATTTTATCTGGATTTTCTGAGCCCAGACTGAGCAGGTTAAGCAAAATTACCATTCTAGGAAGGTCAGTTACCCTATTTAGCAGGTTTGAGATGTCAGAGAATCTGTGGGCAGCATATAGGCTTCAAAAGAGAGACTTTTGAGGTGAAAAGGGATGCACTCATGTGCACAGAGGCATTTGCATGTTTTTTTGTTTTGTGAATTGTGCCATGACCAGTGAAGGTAATGGGCAAGTCACAGCAGCTATAGACTCTATGACATCATACCTATCACAGAGATTATTTTGGGAATTTTCCGCATTTTAGTGAGGCCACAGTACAGCAGGTACAGTGCCACTAAGGAGCCTGTGGCTGAGATTCAAACTCAGCTCAAAACCTCGGCAGCCTGCCTGATTAGGGCAGAAAAGGGCTTGTTGCACCAATCAGAGCAGCCACTGCGGACGAACCGCGCTGTGCGAAGCGCTCACATGGTACTTACATTGTAAGGACGTGTATATTTTTACGGCTCTAAGTCGGAGCTCCTAACATAGGGAATGGGATTCCTTTGTTCGGCCTAACATTTCGAATGTTCCTAGAATCGGGAATGTAAGTGTTATGTTCTTCCTATGTTCCGAAATCGTGCCATGTTCTAGTAATGTACTTCCCATGTTAGGGAATTTCACTTGATGGCTTACTAATATACACGGTCTTGTAATGTTGGGCCCATGTAAGCGCCTCGCACAACCCGGGTTGTCCGCAGTGAGCTCGGCATCCCTCTCGTGCCGTTCGGAGGTGCAACCATGCCAAATTTCCGCACGGTTGCACCTCCGAACGGCATCTGGGCGCTTGATGGGCGCTTAGTAAGCGATGTAAGTGCGGACTGTTCCTGTGCTTAAGAGAGCTTGTTTAGACTCAGAAAAAAGCGGAAAATTGAGACAATATTCAAAATGATCCAGGCAATGTGAATAAAGCTGTATATTGCATGGGTTTGACATCAGATCAGATAGCATTCTCAATAACCTGGTAAGATGGTTGCTGTGGCCCCAGTGAGCTTATATAAGCCTGCTACTTGACTCTTGGAACTGCTCATGTACTGGACAACCCTATAAGATGGTAGTATAAGTACACATTCAGGTATGTATCCCTAGATTGTGTCTGTGAGCAAGACAAAGCCAGCAGTGGATGCATAATTACCATATGGAGTATGTGTCCTTCCCAAAGAGGAATCATACACAAACAGGGGCATGTAGGGCCCAGAAAAATGCAGAAAATCTATGAAATATACAGAAACATCAAAGACAAGTGTATGATTGCCTTGAGCTGCAATGGTTACCATTACATTGTATGCAAGGGCCATAATATGGTAAAAGATGCTCAGATTACCCATTATAGTCCTTGTTACCTGTATTATTGAGTAGTCCGTAGTGTCTGAACTACACATATACATTGCAGTGTACATATAGATCATATTTGAGTCATAAACAAGCAGATTGAATCTGCAGAGGCACATGTGCATTTTTTTGCTTTGCATTTCCTGGGTTAGCCAGTCACTGTATGCACTCAGTAAAATTCCTGTATACTCTCTGAATGAAGGGCTATCAGATGAGCATACTATGTATACTATGATTTGTTACTGGCTGAGGCTATATAGGCCCTACAGTGTGTGAGCGCTTGGAGCAATGGCCCACCAAGCTGCCAGTCACATGATATGTTTACCAGTTTCCTTATTGGGGGAACTGCTAAGGTGTTTCATGGCCCTCATATCCATAACAGAGCGCTTAGCCACTGCATTTGTTGCTATCTGTTGGTGCAAGTCGCATCGTCTGGGAGTCTGAAAATTCAGACTCAGATAAGCAACCCATACTAACAGTTACTTATCTCTGCTTATCGGGGTGGCTGCATGTCACGTGCACTGTGGGAACAAACTGCCATTCCGGAGCAATCACTAAGGCGTTTCATGGTGGTCCATCATAAGAACGATACCTTCATACCTCAGGGATTGTAAAGGATAAAGACAAATACTATGTACGTTTTACTAGTACTATGATCAGTGAGCATCATTTATAACATTTGCACAGGCCTTCCAGCTCAACGGTGAATGTGTCATGGACGATAACCTCATTAGCCAGTGACTGCTATATTGACAAGTGCATAGTTCTTCTTCTGGGTGCTCACACCTCCGTATCTTGAGTACACCAAGCAGTATGGTGAAACCTCACATTGGATGTTCATCCTAGGCGCCATCATCACCAGTCCCAAGGCCCTCGACACACCGGACAATGAGCTCCTGAAACACCGAGTCCCCTTCTGCATTGGCTTCACAGCCAGTTCACTGAATGCACACCTTGCTGCCGACTTCATCATCCAAAACCCTCCGCAAATTACTCCAACTGTCCTGGTCTCTTCGGCGGCATGGATCAATTGTGCTCTTCCGCCTCTGCGATAACGAGGCTGGTATGCGGTGGATTGCACGTGAGGAGTACGTGTGGCATCACCGTAAGCTTGCACCTGCTGGTCACCCAACTCCCTTGCAATGCCCGGAGTGCACGCATCTTCACACTCTCAAGACATTCTACACTGATGCCCATGCTGGGTATGTGTGTATGATGAAGGATTGTTCTTTCGAGGCGGAATGGGAAGTTGACTATGATGCTGAGGCAGAACTGGATGCATATCATCAGATGGTGGTTGGCGCATGCGGCCTTTGTCAGTAGCTCATCTGTTGTAGTTGAATAGTGTGGTGTATTAGGGATTCAACTCCTCTCCGTTTGGTATATTCAACTGTACCCCAATGCTATGTGTAGAGCTTCTTTGTTAAGATCTAGGCATTGCATGGAGATTACAAATGACACTATTGAAAGCAAGGATCAATCCATTGTGTGCCCTTCAGGTGTATCAATGTGCATGCACTTGATATCTGTCCTGGTGTCCTCCACATCACTTGTCATCATCATATCCAACAACATGTTTGACCTTCTGTGTTGGCAACCCCTTTCTCAGTGCTTGCTCAACTCGCTCTCGGTTAATGTCCTGTCCATAGTTTAGTAGTTTGTTTCAAATACAAAAATAGGCTTACATTTTCTATGCTGTGATCAAGGACACAGATGGAGCGCAACTTACACACCATCTTGTATTTCCCCTTTCCCCTAGGAACAGCCACAAATGAAGTTTGGATTTCCACCAATTGACCAACACTGATAGCTGTTGAATGAGACTTCTTGAATTGAGGCCTTATATACATTACTGTGTTCAGTAATCAATGTTGTTACTATGACTCATGACCTACTTGGCAACATTGTCAGGTTTTACCCTCTCATAGTATTTGACTAGACCATCCATAGTGAAAACTTCATCTGTGATGTGACGGCGGAGGATGTGGAAAGGGTCCATGTCATCAGGAATGTCAATGATGTTGGCAGCAGAGGTGTTCTCTGGTGTGGTGAGATATTGATTGTGGAAGTCAAGAGCAATATGTCCTTGCTCTTTCTTTACATCCCACTGATGAAGACTTCCTTGGCCAAGCCTTCTCTCAAACAGCTGATGGATAGACATCAGTGCCACAGCAGCTTCACTGAACTGGGCATTGCCAAGTCCAGTGGTACACAAGTACTGCTCTGTATGAACAGCCCTTGTACGGGCAATGCTAACATTTGTTTGTTAGCAGGTACAATTATATGTAGGAAAGTGGTAATGACATACTCTGCCTCACGGGTTATTGGTGGTAACTTGCGTTTGACCAAGTATCCCGCTGAGCAGCACTTCCTCAGGAGCGCTGTCATCTTCTGCATAGTAGACCTGTTGGCTGCAGTGCGCCTCAGAGCGATTCCAAAGGCCTAAGTCGAGCTCTGTAAAGTCTTAGGGACTTAGAGCTCGACGAGGCGGACTGTCTACGGTGTGCGTTACGTAAGGTGACCATAACTGTACAGTAGAAACAGCCACAAAGTCGAAATCAACAAAGCAGTGAAAAATCGGATGAGTGCAGGGGTTCAAATCCCTGAAGATGCAAACATTATGGAAAATGGTAGACTGAAGGGAATGATGTCGGAAAAAGTACAGTATGCACGGTATGGTGATGGCGTCCATGTAGAATAAAGGAGAACACACCAGGACACATTTCACGACTTCGACAGGGCAATGGAGCTCAGAATAATTTGCAGAAGTGCGGAATAAATTCTGAGCTCAACATCACCATCCGTTCGAAGTGTACACCTGATCCCATCTGTGAGCCTTGCCTAGCTGGTAAGCTGCATCAACACTCTATCCCTCGTTTTGCGACCAGAAATTTCGTCCGCATCGCCCTCGTCGACACCGACCTCAAGGGCCCTCTCCTGACGCCTACGCCGGAGGGGCACATTTATTGGATGACATTTATCCGCGACTCTTGGAGGTCCTGGGTTGTAGCCTTCCTGAAGCGCAAAAGCAACACATTCTCTGTGTTCCAGGTGTTCAAGGTGTACGCCGAAAACACCCTAGGACTCGTCCTGAAGGCTACGCGCGATGACAAGGGTGGGGAGTACATGGGCAAGCAGTTCGTCGATTTTTGCGCTCAGCATGGGGTCCAGCGTCAGCACACTGAACCAGACGAGCCCCACCAGAATGGCGTTGCAGAGCGAGCTAACAGGACGATTGCTGAGGGTGGGACTGCTCTCCTTGTTCAGTTGAAGCTCCCTCCGTTGTTTTGGGGCCATGCCATCTCTACCTTCGTCCACACAAGGAACTGCATGCCTACGTCGTCCCTGCGAGGTGCTGTGCCCCGGGCTGCCTGGAAAGGCGATGGGCGCAAGCCAGATGTCTCCTACTTCCGCATTTTTGGCTGCCTTGCCTATGTGTTGGTACGGAAGAAGGACCGCAAGGCGATGCAGCCGCACACGGGGAAGTGTATTTTTGTCGGCTATCCTGAGGGCACCAAGGCCTGGCGATTCTGGGACCCTGCTGCGAAGAACTTCATCATTTCGTTGCATGCTGTCTTTGACGAACACCGTTTCCCTGGAAATTCGCCCTTCATAAACGTTTTCGGCCTCCCTCTCGACGAGGTCGACGTCCCAGGACCCGAAGACGACGACGGCGAACCCGCTGAAGACGTCCCTGATGCGCCAGAGCTGCATGATCAGGGGGAGACGACTCTGATGATCCTGCACCTCCTGCACCTCCATCGCAAAATCAGCTCTCTGCGCCCCAGGACGTCCGCGAAAATTCCCCTGACCGTCCGGCACGTTCGCCCAGCCCTCCTGCACCTCCTGCGCCTCCACCGGCCCCACAGCGTCTGGCAGCCCGTCGTCAATTCGACAACTATGACGGATACAGGCCATATCCTGCGCCTTCACGTTGACTCCCAGCTCGTTCTACGCATTTTCAAGGCTCCCTGAATGACGACGACTTGCAGCGGCGAAATAAATCTCTTGCCCCAGCGTTTTAGAGTCGACTCTCAGTCCCCTGCCTCGACGCCCGAGCCTGGCCAACACGACGAAACGCCTCAGCGCAATTCTCCGTCGCCTGATCCTCTCATTGAAGCGCCACTGAGTCCACCTGCTGCCCCTGCTCCGCTTCCTGAGCCTGGTTATCCACCCTCTCCTACCTCCAGCGACGACAAACTCAACTTCTTGCGTGGAGATGGACATGAGGACACCTCTGGCTGCTCGCTGGATGCAATGATTGCAGACGTTGAGCACGTGTACTCCGCTGAAAGCGAGGATTTCTTCTCCTATGACGAAGCCCTCAATTTTGCGTTCGAGTCTGTGGCCCAGAATGCGTTCAAGGCGGACCAGGAGCACTTCGGCGAGCCTAGGACCTTCGCAGATGCGATGAAGAGACCCCCAGACGAGCGAGAGAAGTGGCTTAAGGCTGCTCAGGACGAAATCCAGTCCCTCGTTGAAAATGGGACCTTTGAGCTCGTTCAGCTGCCTCCTGGACGAAAGGCCATTGGCTCCCTGTGGGTTTTCCGTGTCAAGCGCAATGCTGATGGCTCAATCAAGCGGTACAAGGGCTGCCTCGTCGCCAAAGGCTTCTCCCAGTGTCCTGGCTTCGACTACAACGAAACCTTCGCTCCTACGCCGAAGTGGGCGTTGATTCGAGCCATTCTTGCGCTTGCAGCCCTGGATGACCTCGAGCTCGAGTCTGTAGACATCTCCTCAGCCTACCTAAACGGCGAGCTGAAGGAGGAGGTGTACATGCAGCAGCCAGAGGGCTTTGAGCAGAAAACTCCGAGCTGGGTATGGCGTCTTCTGAAGGCCCTCTACGGTCTGAAGCATGCTGGACGATGCTGGCACGAGAAGCTGCACGAGGTACTCACCAAACTCGGATTTTCGCGGCTGATTTGCGAGCACAGTGTCTGGGTCTACCTTCGAGATGGAGTGCACATCATCATCCCTGTCTTTGTTGACAATATCACCATTGCAGCGAAGTCGAAAACCGCAATTCAGCACGTCAAGGACGACCTTCATACGCACTTCAAGCTCAGGGACCTTGGGCTGACGTCCTGGCTCCTAGGAGTCAAGATTGAGCGCGATAGAGCGAAGCGTTCACTTTCGATTTCGCAGCAGCAGTATGCTCTCGACGTCCTGGAGTGCTATGGCTTCGCAAACTGCGACCCTGTGGGCACCCCAATGGAGCCTGGCCTTCGTCTCAGCGCAGACATGACTCCCAAGATGTCGTCTGAGGTCAGGGAGATGCAGAACATCACATATGACCAGGCAGTGGGTTCGCTTTTCTACCTTGCTGTAGCAACTCATCCAGACATCGCACGCACTGTGGGCAACCTGGCGTGTTTTACAAAGAACCCTGGCATGACGCACTGGAAGGCAGTCAAGCACCTCTTCCGATACATCAAGGGCACCCTTGACTACAAGCTCACCTATTCCCCTTCGTCCGATTCCGAGATTTTCGCCTCCCACACCGACGCTGACCACGCTGGCTGCCCTGACACCGGTCGATCCACCTCTGGATACGTCGTTAAAATGGGTACAGGTGCGATTTCGTGGTCCAGTCGTCTTCAGACGATTGTGGCGCTCTCTACGACGGAGGCAGAGTTCGTTGCAGCAGTCTCAGCAGGCCAGGAAATTCTCTGGCTTCGCAATCTCCTCACAGAGCTCGGTTTCGACGTCTCCCTTGCCTCCAGCTTCGAATCGACAATCTCTCTGCGCTTTCTGTTGCGAAAAATCCCGAGCACCACGGACGCATGAAGCACCTCGACTTGCGCTTCTACTGGCTCAGGGACGAGGTCGCCAAAGGTCGAATTGAGATCATACACCTCCGCACTTCTGACATGCCTGCTGATATCCTGACGAAGTTGCTGGCTAAACCGAAGGTGCTGGAGATGGTGAAGATGCTTGGGCTGGGGACTTGACAGGTCAGGGGGGAGTGTTGAGCTCGGAATTTATTCCGCATTTCTGCGAATTATTATGAGCTCCATTGCCCTGTCCAAGTCGTGGAACGCGTCCTGGTGTGTTCTCCTTTATTCTACATGGACGCCATCACTATACCGTGCATACTGTACTTTTTCCGACATCATTCCCTTCAGTCTACCATTTTCCATAATGTTTGCATCTTCAGGGATTTGAACCCCTGCACTCATCTGATTTTTCACTGCTTTGTTGATTTCGACTTTGTGGCTGTTTCTACTGTACAGTTATGGTCACCTTACGTAACGCACACCGTAGACAGTCCGCCTCGTCGAGCTCTAAGTCCCTAAGACTTTACAGAGCTCAACTTAGGCCTTTGGAATCGCTCTGAGGCGCACTGCAGCCAACAGGCTTGCCTCATTTGGATGGCCGCAATGCCATTGTGGCTGTCCAAATAAGGCACCTGTTGCACACCACCCTCGGCCTATGCCGCCCTGGTCCGCAGGGTCCCGGGGACACTGTGGTACGGCATGGCTGATGCTACTTGTAAGTGCCTGGTGCCTGAAGATAAGAGCTCAGGGTGTTCGCTAACCTTGAAGTAGAGTTCTAGAGAATTCACCGAAGTGTCAAAGTATGAGGGAGAGTTCGAGGGCACGGATGCATGGCCGGAGGGGAGGCATGTCCAGGTCACTTGATACAACATGTACCGGTACATCCCTAACTTCTTCCTTTCACGTCTAAGGGTTCTATCTCATTGTTGTTCACTAATCTTCAGCTCCCTACCTCATGTCCTTGTCTCACTACCACAGCCTACACGTGCGCACCCCTCGTGTTGCACCCCCCTCTCAAGACGATGATTTGGGACAATCACTGCACTACGGATTTCACTACATCGACTCGACAGAGCTCAAGGCAACCCTTGGGCTTGACCATATAGACGACGACCGCTCCGATAGGTCATTTGGGGGAGACACACATACGTAAACGCGCCCTCTATGTCAGACATAGCAAAGTAACAAACTGTGCAACCAATTAGCTGTGCAATCATCTTCACCGTTGTCCTCCCTCAGGCACACATTTTCTTCACCACTGCTCGACCCCAGGCCCAACACAAAGGACAACATCCCTCTTGACGTGAGACCAGCCGACGCAGACGAGGACCTCGCCCACGCCATTAGGTCCTGGCATCTTGCAGACCAGGTCTTCGGTGAGTTGCTGCAGCAAGACAGTTTCCCGTTCTTGTTTGATCAACAGACGGTAAGCAAAGTATTTGCTCTAACACCAATGATTTAGTCCTGAAAGTTTATTACACAGGCTCGAAACGACATAACCGAACACGTCTGGAAGGAGGCTTGCGAATACATTGATAGCAATACCAAAATACTCAAATTCTTCTTGTAAGCATGCAGCTGGTACCTCCTGATTTTGTGCCTCATATGTTCCTCTAGATTCACATACGACCCTGATAGACGTGAACTCACCATTATGGCACCGCTCGCCCTCCACAAATTGGTCAATGTGGCAGCGCTGGGCTGCCTACAAGACACCCACATTCTCGTGGACGCACACCAGACCTTACTGATTGACAGAAATTGACCTCTGATGGACAAGACATCACACCAAATACCGGACGTTGAGATGGGGTCAACGTGTATTGCATGACGGTATGCTAACTGGCTTCTTCATGTATGCTGTGGAGCTGACACACTCTCCGCAGGTTGCCAGAGCCAACTACAGAGCTGAGCTCGACACACACCGCATTCACCCAGAGATGTTCAAGTGTCACATCACCCTCGTTTCAATTCACAAGACTTCAGCATTCATTCCGTGTTTTCGGTGCACGGGGGACGGTGTCCTGGGTAGTGAGGAGAGTGGGGATGACAGGGCGAGGCTGCCTGTATATGTGGGGATTGCGTGGGTGGCTGCGACTGTGAGGGATGATTTGCCCATGGGCAACACCAGGTATAACAGTATAGGGGACGGCCAGATGTGAGTAAGGGGTGTTGGCGGGCACCGTGTCTGAGGTCTGAGTAGGACCACAGGACTTGTAGTGACAATATTGTACAGTCAGTATGTGACAACAGCGGAGGAAGCTTGTATCCTCAGTGGTGGTGCCTGTTCATACATTGAGGGAAACAGCTGAGTCACAGGTTATATTTCTCACTGACCGAGTGATTTGGTGACTCCCACTTCCGCTGTTCTGAGAGAGGAAGTGTTGTCGGAATTTCACGTAAGCGGAGTCAAGTCCGCCACACTGTGCTTGTCTCCAGCTGCACTTGTCACCGCAAATACTGTCCACAGTGACAATGTTCCTCACAGAAGAGGAATGTACCTGTTTGGTAGAGTTGCTGAGCCGTACACCTGATCTCAGCCACGTGTTGAGGATGTTGCTGGCAAGGCTAGAGGGTATTGATATTCCAAGTCCTGCAGACCTCGCCAGCGCCAGCCAAATCACTGATGACTTGGATGGCATGTGCGCCACTAGCAACAGCGGTGAGAAGTCATACATCATACAACATTGCCTCTAATTGTCTTGTCTGCTCAGGTGGCACCGCGCCGGATGCACAGTGCATCATTCAATCTGAACATAACAGTGTTCACGAAGTATGTAGTGACAATGTCGCCAGTAAGTGTTTAGTGACCTACTGTATGACAAATCTGACGGTATTCACAACAGAAGGCATTGGTGAGACAACGATGCCTGACACATCAACCGTCTACGCCCGCAAGACAAGGTCCCAAGTCCAACCACAACAGGATAATTCTCAAGGGAATACAACTGGTGAGTCCTGCAATAGTACACACAATTGGGCTGACATCTTATTGGATTTGCAAAGGTACTCAGGGTGTCATTGACTCTGATACGGTGGGTCCCGTCCGCTCAACGTGGTCACACAATCGAACTGGCAAGACACTGTATGCCCGTAAAGAATGCGCCCCAGCTGGGCAGGCTGCCAATATGGGACAGCCCGAAAATCGACTACCGCCCTGTCTGCGCGGGGGCATCAACTTCTCAAATGTGCTGCCTGCTCCTGCGTAGATGCTGTGGGATATGGATCCCTTACCTGCACCGTCACACTTGTCAAAGAACACAGTAACACAGTTCTTCTCTGATCTCACAACCGGTCTCACAGATGAGGCGATGTTGAGTTGCTGCGATAACGTGCTATGTAGAGCAGATTCACCATTCAGTCCTAGTACTCCGCAGGTGGATGGATCACTGAGCATGTTCACTGAATGATGCACCGCCGCAAGATTCCACCATAATGAAGCCTTGGACTTTGCAGTGATGGTGAGACTGATGCAATTGGGGTGCAAGATTAGTAGGTATGTACGGACGTAAGGATGCATGTTCAGCGATCCAAACTGACTTAACTTCTCCTAGCCTTCGTCGCTGTAAGCCCCAACCAACTCTCAAAGCCATCTGGACGTCACAGCTGCAAGCGAACACCAGGAGAACCATCTCACAAAGAACATTCAAGAATTGGAATGCAATGGGCTGTAAATTTGCTTGGCTAGCCGGTGGTGGTAAGTGCAGCACAATCACGCATAGGCAATCATTGCCAATGATCTGTCTTTGCAGGCACGGTGTACGTCCTGGTTCTGGTTGTTATGAGGAACCTCAGAACGACCATAGGGACAATGGACGGTCATACTGCCAACTATATAGGGAACATCTTGAGATGGCCAGACGGTAAGTGGCTAGGCTGTTGGCTGCAGTGCGCCTCAGAGCGAATTCCAAAGGCCTAAGTCGAGCTCTGTAAAGTCTTTTTATTCAAAGAAGCGAAGATACACACCTAAGTCGAGCTCTGTAAAGTCTTAGGGACTTAGAGCTCGACGAGGCGGACTGTCTACGGTGTGCGTTACGTAAGGTGACCATAACTGTACAGTAGAAACAGCCACAAAGTCGAAATCAACAAAGCAGTGAAAAATCAGATGAGTGCAGGGGTTCAAATCCCTGAAGATGCAAACATTATGGAAAATGGTAGACTGAAGGGAATGATGTCGGAAAAAGTACAGTATGCACGGTATAGTGATGGCGTCCATGTAGAATAAAGGAGAACACACCAGGACGCGTTCCACGACTTGGACAGGGCAATGGAGCTCAGAATAATTCGCAGAAATGCGGAATAAATTCTGAGCTCAACACTTGTAATTCCTCTGTGTCATGCAGATTTTGTCATTTTTCCTTCTTGTGAACCCACTCACTTTAATTTACATCATACTGGATGGTATGCTTCTATTGTTCTCCATACAGACAGGGAGCTGTCCGAATGGACAGCAGATAGTCATAACGGCTGGACTGACCATCCTCATTTTGCTTAGCTATAGAGTGCTACTAGTACAAGCATATTTATATTTTGATCAAGCATTGTATGTTGTACCTGTCGGCTTGGAGTGCTCGGTGATGTACTCCGTTCCCAGGCAAACCACAAGTTGAACCGCGCTACTATGGCTGCTGACTGATGACTTCCAGAAGCACGGACACCGTCGGGTGTGGTCTCACGGTGTCCCTCAAGTCTGACTTATCTGATGTGGGTATCTCAGCTCACCTTTCATCTTTCTCTTGCTGACTGCTTGTTGCTTGTGTCTGGCTCGCAAACATGAACACTCAATCAAAGACTCACCCGCGGGGGGCAGATGACACCACCGCCAAGAATATGGCCGTGGCGCCCAAGACCGCTCGAGTTCCCAGTAACACGTCAGCCTCGAAGTCCAAAACCAAGTGGGGCAAGAAGTGTGATCGAGGGACTGATGATGAAGCAGAACACGTTGACGAGCGAGGCTTCAGCAAGAAGGATGTAGAACTTCTGAAGCAGCTGGAACACAGAAAGTGTCAAGCCGACAAGCAGAAGGAAGTGCAGGTCAGTAAGTGATTTGATTACAAGTTGTTCAAAGTGCTGAAAGACGCTACACCCTTGTCAATGCTAGAGATACAGCGCGATATGGCTGCGATGACGGCTGAAGAGCAGGAAGATGATGAAGATGCGCAGGAGGAGAGGCCTAAACACAAGAGGTCCAGGAAGGTTGTGGGGTCAGAGGATGATGAAGAACAGAGCAGCACAGAGCGAGAGGTGATGGACAATGCAGTGGCAGGCACTGGCAGCAGAGGATGAGGAGAGAGTCCCCAGAAGAGGATGAGCTTGAGCCAACCCCTCCGAAAGCTCCATCGCGCACCGGTGTGTAGTTCCTCAATATTTCTATATGTGCTACTGATAAATGTAAGATCACACACGAGACATCAAGGGTAAAGGTAGGGCCAGGCATGCTGCCCTGCAAGACGAGGACATTGATATGGAGGGATCACACAATGAGCGGGAGGATGCGCCCCTGTCCGATGAAGACGAACAGTTGCTCGCTGCGAGTCTACGTTCCGCGCAGGCTGCCAAGGCCCCTTCAAGGCCCCTTTGAAGAAGAAGACCAATAGCGACAAGGGCACGCGAGGCAAGAATGTTCATGGCAACAACGAGGATGGCACAAGATCCGGCGTGTCCACTCGCAATCGAGCAGAAAAAGCTGGGACTCATCGTGTGGCGGTCATTGACATCAGGAACAACAGGCTTTGCTTGTCAAGCCATGGAAGACCACTATTGTCTTGGGAACATTGTTTTGCTTGGCAAGACAAGTCCCGGCGGAATGTTGCTTGGGATGAATGACTCTAGCTTGGCCAAGCATCGTAAGGATGCATGTGCTTTAGGACCACAGACAGTTTGGCTGACCGCTCAAGCATCCTATGCCTTGTGGCACATTTTAATAGCATCAGTACTTGGCCAAGACCTGCAAGGCATATAGTTTCTCTGTAAGAGTGCTCTTGATGGTGTCGGGCATGGAGGTGCACACACAGACTAGTTCGTCATTAATACCCCTAATTGTGAGCATGTCTCTGTGGATGATGCTAGTGAGCACTGAGTAGCTAAATGTATGAAGATTTTGCTCAGAACTCACGCAACGCACTCTAACGGCACACGCACGTAGCTGGCAGCATCTGCCTTATAGCCTTCGGAGTATTGTGCTGCAAGCTATAGTGTCTCACAGATTCAGCAAGCCGTCTGCCTAAAAGGGAGACCTCGCGATACGAACCTGCGAGCCTAACTCCTCGAGATCGTTGGGTTTGGATGCGCGAGTTGCTTGGCGGCGAGCCGTTTCTGTCCAAGCAATGTTCCGGGTGTGATCGCCCCGCGGAGCTGGGAAGACCAGGTTGTGTGAATGTTGAGCATCGTACGATGTCTTGACGATGTCCTGGGCAATATCTGGCAGCACCATCTGAGCCTGGCAGTCACCCGGCCCTACCTCTGATCCTGGCGCGCTGATGTCGTCCAGCTCCGTCAGTGTCGACTCAGACGGGCTGGCGGCGTCTTGCACAGTGAGTGAGTGTGTGGCCTCCATTGCAGCAACAACATCGTAGCAGGGCTCCCATTTCACCTTCGACCTCGGTAGAAGGTGGAAGGCACCACATCGTGAGAATGGATGAGGGTGCAATAAATCATATATAGAAAATTCAGACTCACTTTGTTCACAGTGAGTCGAAGACCTTGTCAGGAGTTTCCAGGTCGCTGATCAGCGCACGATGTTGCTCGTCTTTTTGAGTGTGCGCAGCCCCGCCTACTTCTATGGCTAACGGAACCTGCTGTTGAAGCTGCGCGATGTAAGGGACGATGATGCCTGCTTTTATCCTGAATCTGAACATCATGTTTAGCAATAATATAGGCCTTCAATGTACGGGACTGTGAACTAACCGTCAGGGCAGCGTAGCATTGTTAGGGCTCGTGGGCTCGGAACCCTAGATTCAGGGGCTGGGCTGCCTCGTGAACCTACAGTTGGTGGTCGTGACACGACCAGAGGGGAAATGGGGATCTTGAGGTCGTGAGCAGGGCAAGGAGCACCTGCTAGAGTCGTTAGCAGGGCGACGAGCCGTGCTATGAGGGAGCGCAGAGAGGTCCTCGGTTGCCAGTGACAAGCTGGGCCGAGAGGGGAGTCCTAGACTGGCTATTGGGCCAGGTCGAGGGGGAGTCCTGAGCGAAGGCGACGAGCCTAAGCCGAGGATGGTTCCTAGGTGGGGCGACGAGCCTAGCCGAGGACTCAGAGAACTTACTCAGACGGTGCAAAGGGTTCACACGCGGACGAGGTGGTAGTTCAGGTGTAAGAGTAGATTACTTCCCAAAATGGAAGTCAGGTGGCTAGGTACATTGAGATAAGATGAGATGTACACTATCAGTTCATAATCTAATCTAATGGACAGATAATGGGTTATCTATCCGTAACAAGCATGTTGCCTACGGCCTCTGCCAAATGTCCGTTGCAATCCCCGAAGGGTTTTCTCAAGCCCTGTAGGGCAATCAGTACCAAGAAGTAGATAGACCCTAACACCAGAACATTGTGAGTATGAGAGGACAGTACTGCGCACGGCGTGAAGGTACATACCTCCACCGGCAACCCTTGCAAACTTTACGCCCTTGGAGCACCAGCCTTGAAATGTCCTCTTCTTGGGGCCCTTCTTGACATCTTTGAGCTCTCGCCGCCAGATCTCGGCCACGGCCTGTTCCTTGTTGCTCTGAAGCTCGCTGATACCAAAGTTATCCCTAGGTTGAATATATCACCAGTGAAAGTGCTCACCTCAGGCTGAGACTTGGAAAGCCAACCGTATAAATTGAGCATTGTCCAGAAGGACACCGCAGAGTTGACAGTGAGGCTTGATGCGCATCGAGCTGCCAAAACAGGAAAAGACTCGCCGGGCTGGAATGCAACACCCTCGAGCTCAGGTGCGCTTCGAGGGATCGCCGAGGCCGTTTCGAGGATGCACTCGAGAGAGATTGGAGGTGAGGTGGGCTAGGAACAACAATACGGAGCTCGTAGCTACTTGGGCAGGCATAGATAGGGTGTTCCACCTGGCAGCTCTCCGGCTGCTAGACGTAGCGCCTTCCGGCATGAATTGAATCCCTCCTTGAGGGCAGCCAATGGGTTTATGAGGGTGTACGGCCTGGGGACTTGGGTCTGGATAAGGCACGTTCCGGGTGGCCTGTGCCCGTATGTGCTGCGAAGACCGTGTCGTGCGCACTGGGCCAACTTGAGATTCCCTTAACTCCTCCTCTTCGCAGCCTTCTATTGTACGTCCTGTGTAACACTTTTAGTATACGCTAAGTAGATGCTAGAATACTTGCCTGGACCGCTTGTGAACGGCTCAAGATTGAGCCCGCCAGCCACCATTGTCGAACTGCACACATCCGAGGCCCAGTCTAGGGGCAGACTTGGGGGTCTCTCCAAGACAGAGTCAGAGGCGGCACCTCCTGTACTGCTTTCCAGGTGTTGCGAGAGACCCTGAAGAACAGGGTTGAGGTTGTCAATTGTGGACAAAAGAGCCGCAAGAGCTCGCTGCTCTTCGTTCGTGAGTTGCATCAGTTGTGTGCTGAGGGCGGTAGACTTAGAGGTAGAGACCATGCATACTGAGCCTCGCTAGGGGTGCTTAGCGCCGAAAAGAAACCATATACATAATCTACTTGCGGTAACGTACACGGGAGGCTGAGAGCGGACAGTAAAGAAGAGTAATGCATAACATGTACATGCTGGGGAGAGGGCCATAGCTGGCAGTACGATCCCTTTTGTTTGATACACGTCAGTTTGTGAGTAAAACATTTTGACCACATCATAAGTTAAGCTTGGCAAGACTGCTAGTATATTGTCTGCATAGACCACTGACATATCTTCCACATTTTGCATCCAGCTGCCATCTCAGGGCAAAAATATTCAGAGTAGCCTGCTAATTTATTAGGTTGTTCTAATGTGAGGAGCATAGTTTGCAATCATGAGCAACATCCCAATTGAGTAAGTATTTACATATTGATATGAGACTCTCCATTGAGAACACAGACATTAAGGATCTATTTCTTACTTGATGAATTGCCAAGTTAATTACCAATATTACCAAAATACTAATGAACAGTATTACTGGTTTGTGTTGATATCAACAAAGAGAAAATAGCTTGGAAATGTTGCAAAGAAGTATGCCTCTAGAACACTAGAACTCAAAGAAGGGGGATCAGGGAGGTCTACAGTAACAACTACTCAGCTGGGACTTGCTGTTGTACAAGTATGAGCCCTTAATCAGAGAGAACTTTTGATACAGAAGGATGTCTTTCAATAAATTGTTAACAGTACTTCCCCAAGTACAAACCAGTCAACAGTAGACAGAGAAGTATACCAGTAAGAATCATTGAAAAAGGCTCTTCCAGAATTGTCATGTTATACAAGGAATACTACCAAAGACTGTCCAGTTTGCTCTCACCATTTGTACACTGAAGTGAACAATTACCAGGCACTGGCACTGACCAGTAGTACAAAGCCATACTAAGGTATGTTACCGGATTGGAGCTCAGCCAATAGTAATGGGCTAATGTATGATGTGAATCAATGTACCATCATGGTGAGTGCCATCAAGACTGACAGAGTTGTGGGAAGGATTGATCACTGATGTCAGGGACTATTGACAATAAGGTACAGAGGAGTACAGTAGCAAGTGGTAGATGAGATAAATGTTTGGACTTGCTCTTAGGGATGCTCCTTTTTAGCATTTCCCAAGTGCACTCCCTCTCAGCTACATAAATGCTTCATAGAATCCAAATAGTAGAAGACTCAGTACACCACTTTCTCAGGCCATTCAAGATGCACAATAAGGCTCAAAAAGTAGCAAAAAAGCAAGGCAAGGGTATGTGTGTTAATGATTGCCACTGATCATCAAGCATGTGCTCTGTGAAACATGAGGGACCACATGGCCCTATGAAAATTCAGATTCAGTGTACAGCTTGATGAGCCACTCATAGATTGCCTGCCACCTGGAATATTATCATCAATATTCTGAGCTAATAGTCACCCAGTAACAGCTTTCAGATCATCTGGTCACAAGGGGCCTAAGGAAAGTACTAGGAGCCTGGTAATAGTCCAGTCAGTACATACACAATCAAGTGCTACAAAGCATAACAATGTGAGAAACAAAAGATCACCTGAATGTGGTGAGAAGGCACTGTGAATACTACAGTGAAGTCCATCAAAAGGAAATGAAATAAAGATAACAAAGTGCAGGAATGATAACAACTGCTGCTTATCCTATTCAAAGATCACATATGTGGAGATCCTTGTAAAAATGCCTTGTCCCTAACAACAGCCTGCATACTCAGACTTGCACGTGGGGTCATTGTAGCCTCTCCTGGGTAGTAATGCCTAGTATCAACGGTCATGCACTCTGGTCATAAGTCAAGGGATTTCTATATCTCCAGACACACTCCCAAGGTAATTAATTAATTATCAGTGTCATTTTCTGGCTGACTGTGTGTGCACATACAATGGTACTATATTTGGATTAGACCATATGTTGATATTGACATTCCTCTGGCACATGCCATCCAGGATCAACTGCCAAATTGGGCGCTAGTAGGCACACTGCCACATATTCATATTTCCAATGCTGTTCATATATCAAACATGTTCACACCCTGGTCTAAAGTGTTATTTTTCCACTTCCCATATAACATGAAAGGACCCAACATGAGTAGCTGCCATTTTATAATCACATGTAAAAGGAAACAGTTGCAGCAAATGAGAGTACTCCTGAAGTCATATTACTGACTAGAGAGCTATAAAATGACAGCCTTATATTGGCTCAGAAGTCCATTGTAGTATGGCCTCATCACTGTTGTATAGTAAGCAATGCAAGTCTACATTATTTCCAGAGCAACCATGGCTTCTTCTGAGCACAATCAGGAAGAAAGCTGCCTTTTCTATCTCCACATGCCAAGGGATGAGAACAGGATGATGGTAGTGCATACAGAGGTTAGATATGTTCCAGGCAAAAATCATCTGAGGGACTAACAACCAAGCATAGCACCATCATACTATATAAATGGCACTGCTTCATATTGACAAGATTAGTCAAAGACATGCTTATACTGGACTGCTACAATAGAGCTGCTGACATCTGGCTATGTGCATCTGCATTAGCACATGTGAGATGTACTGTCTTGCAATGGCCTACAACAGTCAGCACAATGTGAAGTCATGGGATTGTCTGATTTTATCTTATTTCCTACCATTTATCTAGCATTACAGAGACCATCAGAGACTTTGATACACTATGTGTGGTAGTGTGGTGGCCCCACTTTATGACATTGCTAGCCTATGAATTTTCTCACAACAGTAGTAACTGCATAAACAACTTGTACAATGTCTTTGTATCACTTTTCAGGATCAGTACAGTGTGAAAAAGCTCTGTGGACCCACAATTCTGATGGCTATGCTATTGATGTGTGAGTATTATGGACATGCTCAGTATGAACTGTGGCCTTTGTGCCACAGGTGTCCACCATTTTCTGAATATGCCATAGCCTGCCCAAGGGTTTAGACAGAAGCCAATCACTACTTACAGCAAACAGTACAAGGTGAGCCTGAGTGGAATCATTCAAAGTATTCTCTTGTTTTATCCGCATTTTCTGAGCACAGACACAGCAGGTAACTCAGACTTTCCATTTTTGGAATGTAAACTATCACATATAGCAGGTTTGAGATGTCATATAGTCACACAATTCATAGGCAGTTGGTAAGCAGGAAAAACAAACAATGTGAAAGAACCAGTGTTCACAGAGCCATATGCTTTGTGACTGGCACTATATTTATATGAATCTATGGGAAAGCATACTATGTAAAGCCTCTCTGACATCATATACATGACTGGTAGTTTTCCCAATTGTTTTTGATTTTTTGGGAGACCATAGCACAGCAAATACAGTGTCACTAATGAACTTGTGGCTTGCATTCAAACTCAGCCCAACAGCTTGGCAGCCTGCCTTTTCAGGGCCTATTGAATAGCTGAACCAAACAGAATAGTCTAGGATCCTGTCTGGAATTGCCAGTCCCTGATAATCCCAGGTGATACTGGTTCTTACAAGATGGACCAAGACTCACTGACAGAGTGGCTTGTATCAGGCTATGCATGGGTCATTCTGCACTATCATATGTTTTCTGCCATATTGGAGCCTCAACAGTCAACTCAATATGAATTCATAGTACTATCTGATTTTTCTCTGATTTTCCTGCTATTTATCCAGTCCTGCAGAGGCCATGCACGGCCAACTTCCCAAATGGGCAGGGGACTGACCATATATGGCAGTTTTGTATGTTTGATATCCCCCACTTCACAGAGCCCATACATGTGGAACTGTCTTGTACAAGCATCATACACACACCAACATTTGCTTATATCCCCAGTATCACTTGCCAAGGTCAGTACTCTGTGAAACACAACAAGAACACCTAATCTGGGCACCCTTGTCAGTACTCAAGGGGCATTCCATGGAGAAGCAATATTTTGGGACTTTTCCGCATTTAATGGGGCTCTAATAAGGTAGTGTGGCTTCAAGCCATCAAAAAACTCGGCATGAAGAGCTGAGATTGAAAGATTACTTGGAAAGGGAATCTTTGTCAGCATTCCAGCCAATGGGAGTGCTCCAAAACCCTTTTCAGTGACCGGAGTCGTCGACAGGCCGGAATTCCGGCCTGTCGACGACTCCGCTTCGGCAACGGGCGCTTAATCGAGCGCTTAGTAAGCGATGTAAGTGCATGCTGGTACTGCAGCACAATTCACTTGTTTTGGGCTCAAGAAAATGCAGATTAATCAGATGATATTCCAGGAGATATGTGGAGCATCCCTGAGCATATTCACAAGTGGAGAAGATTCCCTATATGGTCATTCAGTGCTGAGACATCAAAACATGCATGTTATCACCATCTTTCCCCATTAATAGCTGTGCTGTGCAACTTCCAGACACACCCATGCATTGTAAACTATGCACATATCCATACAGGTCATAGGCAATGTGTTTCAGAGACAACAAGCCAGTCATATATCTGCACAGTCACTTGTGATTATCTAAATGTTGTACTTTGTTATTCATTCCTCCAGTGTATGAGAAACCCTTTGAATGATGGGCTATCAAATGGGCTCATTATCTCTATAACCTCTATAAGAGTTGATTAGATTTCAGTCAGTGTATCCCAGTCAAATGCCACACAATCATGCATGTGTTTCTCTGTTTCCTGAATTTCAAACAACTGGGCAAGTCATACTAGTCATATATTGTGGGGGCCTCCATACAGGATTGTTTTCTTACATACAGCAGACATCACAAATGATTCCAATCACAAATAATATTCCCTGATTTTATCTGGATTTTCTGAGCCCAGACTGAGCAGGTTAAGCAAAATTACCATTCTAGGAAGGTCAGTTACCCTATTTAGCAGGTTTGAGATGTCAGAGAATCTGTGGGCAGCATATAGGCTTCAAAAGAGAGACTTTTGAGGTGAAAAGGGATGCACTCATGTGCACAGAGGCATTTGCATGTTTTTTTGTTTTGTGAATTGTGCCATGACCAGTGAAGGTAATGGGCAAGTCACAGCAGCTATAGACTCTATGACATCATACCTATCACAGAGATTATTTTGGGAATTTTCCGCATTTTAGTGAGGCCACAGTACAGCAGGTACAGTGCCACTAAGGAGCCTGTGGCTGAGATTCAAACTCAGCTCAAAACCTCGGCAGCCTGCCTGATTAGGGCAGAAAAGGGCTTGTTGCACCAATCAGAGCAGCTCGGCATCCCTCTCGTGCCGTTCGGAGGTGCAACCATGCCAAATTTCCGCACGGTTGCACCTCCGAACGGCATCTGGGCGCTTGATGGGCGCTTAGTAAGCGATGTAAGTGCGGACTGTTCCTGTGCTTAAGAGAGCTTGTTTAGACTCAGAAAAAAGCGGAAAATTGAGACAATATTCAAAATGATCCAGGCAATGTGAATAAAGCTGTATATTGCATGGGTTTGACATCAGATCAGATAGCATTCTCAATAACCTGGTAAGATGGTTGCTGTGGCCCCAGTGAGCTTATATAAGCCTGCTACTTGACTCTTGGAACTGCTCATGTACTGGACAACCCTATAAGATGGTAGTATAAGTACACATTCAGGTATGTATCCCTAGATTGTGTCTGTGAGCAAGACAAAGCCAGCAGTGGATGCATAATTACCATATGGAGTATGTGTCCTTCCCAAAGAGGAATCATACACAAACAGGGGCATGTAGGGCCCAGAAAAATGCAGAAAATCTATGAAATATACAGAAACATCAAAGACAAGTGTATGATTGCCTTGAGCTGCAATGGTTACCATTACATTGTATGCAAGGGCCATAATATGGTAAAAGATGCTCAGATTACCCATTATAGTCCTTGTTACCTGTATTATTGAGTAGTCCGTAGTGTCTGAACTACACATATACATTGCAGTGTACATATAGATCATATTTGAGTCATAAACAAGCAGATTGAATCTGCAGAGGCACATGTGCATTTTTTTGCTTTGCATTTCCTGGGTTAGCCAGTCACTGTATGCACTCAGTAAAATTCCTGTATACTCTCTGAATGAAGGGCTATCAGATGAGCATACTATGTATACTATGATTTGTTACTGGCTGAGGCTATATAGGCCCTACAGTGTGTGAGCGCTTGGAGCAATGGCCCACCAAGCTGCCAGTCACATGATATGTTTACCAGTTTCCTTATTGGGGGAACTGCTAAGGTGTTTCATGGCCCTCATATCCATAACAGAGCGCTTAGCCACTGCATTTGTTGCTATCTGTTGGTGCAAGTCGCATCGTCTGGGAGTCTGAAAATTCAGACTCAGATAAGCAACCCATACTAACAGTTACTTATCTCTGCTTATCGGGGTGGCTGCATGTCACGTGCACTGTGGGAACAAACTGCCATTCCGGAGCAATCACTAAGGCGTTTCATGGTGGTCCATCATAAGAACGATACCTTCGTACCTCAGGGATCGTAATGGTGTATGAAGCACCACCTACTCATCGAGCGTTAGCCTGCGCCCAGCTCACCTCTGCGCAGGCCTGGGGTGACGTGGCGACGGGTAGGTAGGGTCACTCTTACAATCCTTGCGCTCATCCTCGCTGCTGTCAGATGTGTCATTCATGAACGATACAGCCCGGTCGGCTTCATTGTTCATGAACAATGTAGCACTGTTGCATACATTATTTATGAACAACACGGTACTGTGGGCTACATCGTCCATGAATGATGTAGGATGCATCATTCACAAACAATGTAGTACTGTCAGAGACCTCTGCAGTGCTGTCGGATGCATCTGTAGTACTGTCAGATGCATCATTCATGAACGATATGGCACCTTCGGCTACATCGTTCACAAACAATGTAACACTGTCACACACATCTGCAGTGCTGTCGGATGCATCGTTTGTGAACGATGTAGCACTACATCTGCAGTGCTGTCGGTAGCATCTGCAGTACTGTTGGCTACATCGTCCATAAACGATGTAGGAATGTACAATGGTTCGTTCACAAACAATGTCGCGCTGTTGGGGAGCTCTGCAGTGCTGTTGGATGCATCATTCATAAACAATGTAGCACTGTCGGACAAGGGCTCTTGTCGCAATGATGTCAGAAAAGTCTGCTCACTGTAAATGAATATTATGTATGTTGTGTTGTGTTGGACCATAAATCACTGTAAAGTTGGGATATCTTGGGGCACAAAATCTGTACCCAAACCCATGTTGCTCTAATAGGTTGAGTCTGCACTGTTTTTCACCTGTTTCATTGGTTTTTGTACTTGTTTGGAGTGTAAAACCCAACATTTTGTAGGCAAAAGTGGTGCTACCCGGACGCTATCCCAACCTGTACCCCCTTTACAAAACACTATATAGTGCGCAGAGGTCCCATTTCTCGTGAAAATCTGCCCCTGACCCCTCCCTGATGCCAAATATTGGTCGAAAATGCCCTATAATGAGCATGGCGGAGATGACGAGCACGGTGGAGATGACGAGCACGGTGGAGATGACGAGCACGACAACAGAGATGACAGACAATGAGGACAAGAGGAGGGAAGGTGTCACGTTCCGTGCCACCAAGACCACCTCCAAACTCCAGTTCCGTTTTCTCTGTCTCCGTTTCTCCGAACTCCGGTCTTATTGTATTCGCTTAGCCTATCTTCTCCCGCATTACAATTAGCGTACCGCATGGTCTGTATCTTGCACGGACAATTAGCTTATTGTATTCACTCCGGTTACTAACATCTCCGGTCTTCCGTTATTGTTCTCCATATCCCTTCCTCCGTCCTATTGTCTTCCGTTCACAATTAGACTTGCTGTATATAAAGATCGAACTGTAGCACTGTTGTAGTTCAGTTCGAATATCTCGTTTAACCAATCCGAATTCCTTTCCTCCGAACTCCTGTCTGAACTCCGGACTTCCGTCCAACCTCTGTCTAGCTTCTCTCTTCTCTCTCACTCTCGTCTTCTCCTCCTCCTTCCTCCGACTCTATCTCTGGACTCCATCATAGTCCACCTCCGTTCAAGTCCAAATAGAGGACCCCATCGAGTTCTCCCAAGGGCGTTGCTAATAGCTTCGCCAAGTCCTCACTCCACTGCGCTCCGAAACTCCGGACTTCGTAACTCCGACCTCGGACTTCGTCTCGAGCGCACGATCGTAACAGAAGGGACAGGTGGTGCAAAACAAACACTGTGTCCATGTTTGGCCCTCCTGCCTGATTTGGTGTCCGGCACATGGTCTCAGCCACACGCACAAACCAAGCAGCCACAACTCGAGCCAGGCTGTCTTGCAACGGGTAGAGGGCCCCTGAGACAATAAAGCGAGAGAGCACAAGACTGGATTAGGACTAGAACGAATAAATCCAAGGTTATCTACCGTACTCAGCAAGGAAATAGGTGACTAGAGTGGCTCAAAAGCGAGAATGCGAAATCATTGCATGTGTCACCGACTACAGATGCACAAATAAATTGGATGTAGCCTTGTAAAATGGTCCCATATTGCTGAATATAAGTCCAAAGTCAGGAGGACTATTGCTGGGCTATAAATGTGGTTTTATGAGTGGAAACACACATGTTGGTATATAATTGACATACACTGCATACAGAAGGTTATTCAAATAGCATCTGATATTGGGCATACATTGCTCCCATACTTTGCACATATAGTCTACCATATAGAACCCATTTTATGAGATGCACAGATCCATGGGGACTACTGATCCCAGAGGCTGTAGGGGAATATCTGAATATATTGGGCAGTACTTGGCTGGGCCCAAGAGCTGTTGTGCAAATACTAATCTGATATTGGGCATACATTGCTCCCATACTTTGCACATATGGTCTACCATATAGGCTCCATTTTCTGACATGGATAAACTTGGCAGGACTACTCATAACAGATGCTGCAAGGGAATATCCCAATATATTGGGTGTACTGGGCTGGTGTAACATTGCCTTACTCAATCCCGCAGATACAGTGCACCAATCTCCATTGAGAAGTGCAATGTATCCGGAGGACGACAAGTTAAAGGACTTGTCCTTCAACTCGCCGGGCGACAACCTATAAAGGTATGACGCCAAACACACGCAAACGTATATACATACATGCATATCGATCCAATAAGTCCATAACGGGATTACACACGTCCATACGGTAACGTCCCGTTACACTCCTCCTCCCTGGACTCGTCCACGGGTCCACGATAGTAGAGTAGGCGCAAATATATAAGGTCATTGGACCGTGATGATGAGGCGAAGCGACAGGATGACGACGGCGACGACGTGAGTGCCGACGGCGACAGCCTGCGCGGTGAGAGGAATGATGAGGTGAAGGCGCCAGCGACGCGCCGGCCAGTGAGTCTATTGTGGACGGAATTGAAGAGACGGGAATATTCGCGACACCGTGATCGAGAAGTACAAC